TTTGAAAAATGAATATGTGTGGTATAGAAATGTTCAGAGAATTATAATTCTTTGTAAGGATTTCCAAAAAAAAAATTTACATTTTAAATAAATTTGACTTCAGAGATTTTACGTCACTCATGCGGGTTGCTAACAGTGTGTATATTTAATCAGCCATGTATAATATAATATAATAAAACATCCATATTGTAGTACATCAGCTTCAGAATTGAAATGAATGACTGCTCCAAAAGATTTCTGTGACAATACACTTAGATTAATATATGTTGTTGATACAAATTTTGTACTAATAAATTATTTGTCTCCTTCAGTTTCCATAGCTCCACTGGCCGCCGATCTGTTGCATCCAGAGCCCCTGGTTCCGTACCTCCCACGCTTCCATTCCGCCGGATACGCCGTCTTCTCCGAAAAGGGAGTTGTGGGCAAGCTGTGCGCCGAGGGTCTGGAAGGCGATGCCAAGCTGGTGGTGCGCCAGACCGTCTCCGAGTCGCTCTGCAAGTCCCTGGGATACGAGTAAGTATATCTCTAGATATTTGTCAAAACTATAGAATATTTCCCTTCATCAAAATTCGCATTCGGCTCTACTAATAATTATTAGCTGCATTACCATAATTCATATTAAAGCTAATACACTTTTATAAGGTTTATTTTTATGTTAGCTACTTCTATATTTTCAAAATTGACCCAAAACTGCGCTTTTGGCAGTTGCTACTCTGAAACCGGAATTTCTTGGGTCAAAATATTTCCTTTTGAAATTCTGCTTTGGTCCACCCTAGAATTCACAATACTTTTAGAGACCATTACTTAATCGTGATTTCTGAAAGTGTATGGTTTAATTACCTTTATTATAATCCGAATTTAATTTTTGGTTGAATCAGAACTCCCTTTAAATTAAGACACTTCCAAGAGTTCTCCAGATTATAACTAGATTTGTATTCCCCTCCCGCAGATCCGTGGAAATCTTCGATGTGCAGAACGACACGGAGCAGTTGAGCGACTACGTCCGAGTGCTAGATCCCCATGCGCCGGAGATCAGCTTTATCCGGACGCACTGCCCTCGGCGGCAGGTGCTCTACGTGGGATGCGGCGAGCTGCGGTGTGGCGTCCAGTCGGCGCTCTTCAACGCCAAGCAGCACCTGGCGCTGCCGAAGATGTCGGCGCCCGGGGATTGGCCCTGGCTGGTGGCCCTGTTCCGCGAGGACATCCACGTGTGCGACGGCACCCTGATCTCGCAGGACTGGGTCCTCACCACCGAGGGCTGCTTCCAGGGCCAGCCGCGTGCCACCTGGATGGCCATTGTGGGCGCAGTACGTCTGTCGGCCAAGGCGCCGTGGACGCAGCGGCGCCGCATCATCGGCATGATCAAGAGTCCGGTGGAGGGCTCCACGGCGGCACTGGTGCGCCTGGAGACGCCGATCAGCTACTCGGACCATGTGCGACCCATCTGCCTGCCCGATGCCCTGCAGCGTCGCCTGCTCCAGCAGCCGCCGGCCCAGAGGAGATCCCATGTCGTCCCGGTGGCCGAGCGACTGGAGGGCCAGCAGCTGGTGCCGCGCAATCGGCTGGCCCAGGAGAACCAGCAGTTCTTCCTCATCCCATCGCAGGAGCAGCTGGACAGTTCCACGGAGAACCATGGAGAGGAGGAGGATCAGGATGAGCAGGAGGATCACTTCGGGGCCCGGGCGGCCGCCTCCTACATGCCGAAAGCGGAGGCTCTGCACCAGGAACTGGATGCCTATCCCCTGCCGGATCATGCGCCGCAGGTGAACTACTACGGCGGCAGCTCGTCCTCCTCCTCGGGAGCCAGTGTCACATCCTCGTCATCGGCCTCATCCGTCCGCAAGGCCACCAAGGCTCCTGTCTCGGTGGCGGTGGTTCCGGCTGCCCAGGAGCAGATCTGGACAAACTGCAATACTCTGGGCTGGTCCCGGCAGCGGGATCACCTACAGCGCGTCCAGCTGAAGATCGGCGACATGGCGCCCTGCGAGAATGTGTCCATCGCCACCGTGAACTCCATGTGCATGGAGGCCACCTACCAGAAGTACGACTGCACGGTGAGTACAACTTTTGAATTGAATTTCTGATACTCAATAAAATAGCAAGCTGAAAGTTTTAATTATTTGAAGGCCTTCTTGGTAACTTTGTGAAATAATCCGGATAGCACAAGTTATAAAATTAATTAAATTATCGAGTACCCAAAAAAAGGCATTGCATTAAATATTTAAACTTTATTAAACTGAAGTATTTCATAGGAGGTAAAAAAGAGGCTAAAAAAGTAAGATACTATTTTTTCCGTTAGTTTGTTTTTTTATAATTTTAATTTGAAAAATAATTTGTAAAAAATTGAAAAATTGAGACACAATGATATCAAATTGAAGTGTATTTAAAAAAAATTCATTTAACTTTTATAAAAGACAAATTAAATTATAAACTGCCAGAAGGTAGACTAGGAACTATAGTAGCGTTCATGTAGCTTAAATTAATAACAAAAAATATTTATTTTACATAATATAACATTTGGGTTTGGACGATTATTTGGTGAGATAGGTATAGTGTTAGTCTTAGGAACAGCGGTTCAACCTTTTGGCTTATGCCTACATTTAGATGGTTATATCGTATACGTACTATAGCTATGTACAAATGGTGATCAGCGACTTAAATGCGAATCGAACGCATGACAGGAACGGGGTGGGGAACCACTGGAGTGGACGCAGTGCGTCTTGACTTGGCGCAGACTTCCAAGCGCAGGCGTTTTCTTAGTGGCTCCTGCTGCTGCAGATCCTCCTCCCGCAGAGGTGGTGCTGCGTTAATCTCCACCAGCTGCTGCGACTGTTCCCTGAGGAAACAATTCTGGCGATGCACGGGAGCTGCTCCTGCACTGGGCAGCGATCCCAGAAAGCAGTTCATCCGATAGACGGGTACCGGCTTGTAGTCCTGCACGGGCTCCTCCTCCTCCTTCTCCCCCACTTTTTGGCCATCGGCCTGCTCCTGCTTCTGCTCCACTGGACGCTTTCTCTTAAGGGACTCGGTCTGGCTAATATTTCTCCGCATCTGCGACCAGTCGAACCTCAGGTGGAAGGTGATCTCCGGGCAGGGAAACAGGAGCAGAAAGTACTCCAGCAAATGCGCCTCGAACACGTATCCCTTGCCGTTGGTCAGGATCAGGGCGTTCCTTTGGGCTTCCGGAATGTCGAAACGAGACATGGCTAGAAATCAATAGGGGAAATAATGTTAGATGAGTTATTTTATTGTTAAGAATTTAAAATGTATTATATATTTTTTACCATTTTTTTTAAAGCAACATATGTACATATATAAAAGGTTTCATTTAATCCACTTTAGATTGTGAGAAAAAGAAAAATGAAAGTATTCGCTCTTTTCGTATAAATGATATTTATTGAGATGAAAACTTGGCCATCTTTACTAAAAATGTCAAATTAGTTTCGATTTTAGGTATATAAGAAATCTTAATGATTCTGTTGTGAGCTCAAGATAGGTTTAGGGATTTAGTTAAATTATTCTGCAAGATACTACTACATTCCAATGCTTCGTGTGTTTTGTTGTGTGACTCACCTTGGGAGATGACCTCTTCGTAGGTGTTGGAGGATCCGCAATTGACGATGTTTGTCTTGCCCTGAAATAGGATCTTTAAGCTGCTCCTGGTATGCGTCATCCTTTGAATTTGTGTAGTTAATTTAATCACTTTGATCTTGATCTTGACACTGGAAATTTTACTTTTCCCTTTTATCACTATTCGACGCGATGTGTTCTCGCTTGGAAAGTTGCCGATCGAATGCAATGCAACTGTTGGCGCTTCGTTTTATATGTTTTGTGTTTATGTGTCCCTTCGACCGTTGCCTGTTCTTTCTTTCTTTCTCTCCCTTTCATTTTGCCTGCTTGCAGCTGGACTGCATAGATGTTGTCTTCGCTATCCTAGGTAAACCTTTGCAGGTAACGGGGGTTGTTAAAGTCTGTTTGTGTGTGTTCGCTCGTGCTCGCTTAAATGGCAATTGGAGAGAGTCAAAGAGAGAGAGAGAGAGAGCGAAAATTACTCATTCAATTTGGTTTTTGTCTCGACAGCTATTGTTGTTGTTCTACGCAGAACGCGTTTCTGCATGTCGCGTGCGGTGACGTCACGATCGCCAATTGGGGTGACACGACAAGAGTTTAATTCGATGGTGAAATGTTAAAATAGAGTGGTCCCCAATTAATGGTTGTTACATTTAAGAGGCTAAACAACAATTTTAATATTTAATCATTTTTTAAAACACATACATACATACATATGGATTCATATTTACTAAAAGAGAAATCAATGTATAAAACCTACACAAAATTATATTAATTATTTTCATTCATTTTATTAAATTGGATTTTTGTTGGAAAATCAAGATAAAGTCTTTTAGCTAAAATAAAGAAAAAGTGTGTATCGATATTTAGTTGTAACCTTTTTGCTGCTAGGAAAAAAAAACAACAATTTATGCAGTTTTTACTTGAGATTTCTTTAGTGAAATAAGCCGTTGCATACTTTTAGGCCATACAGATTTAAAGTAGCTGGAGAATTCCAACAACTAACTTAGATAATACTTACTTTAGATACTATTTTGTATTATATACCAATTTACAACATCTGTTTTTGTCATCCTCCTCCTCCAGCAAGAGGAGTACTCGGGAGCACCCGTTCAGTGCCTGATTCCCAACACGAATCAGTGGGCCCTCATCGGGGTCTCCTCCTGGCGGATCGCCTGCGGACCCACGGGCGTGGAGCGGCCCAGGATGTACGACAAGATCGCCTCGAATGCCGCCTGGATTCGCGAGACGATCAGCGCGGTATAGTCCCCTGGGGCGGCGCCACGCCCCCTCAGCATTTGTGTAGAAAACGGAACCGAACTCACTGGGTATTATGTGTGTGTGTAGCAACCAATTTTAAGCATATGTAACTAACCTGCTCTAATGTTACTCGAACCTAACTCTATGCTAAAACTATTCTTTAAACATCCTTTTTTTTTGCTGTTTTGTGTAATATTTATTAACTATGTTGTAATTGTATGTTAAACATGTCGAAAAGGAAGCAAATTTAGTTATTAGAATTTACGTTTAGCTGTTTGTAGAAAGATATTGTTGAATAAAATGAAATCGCCTAAAATCGGGTTGTAGTGTTAAGAGGTTTTTATCCTTTTAAGTGGATATGTGCATGGATTCCCATTTTCCGTTGCTTTGAAGGCGGTATTGTACCCGATCTGCGATCTCGTTGAGACCCACTTTCAGGAAGTCCCATCGTTGCGGCTGGAATTTCCAGGCGGTACTGAAAGGTAACAATTAAATATTATTTAATATATCACTTTGAAAAAGTATGGAAAAATGTGACTATGTATCTAAAAGCTACACTAACGGTTAAAATATAAAAGTAAATACCAAATAATCTTTGGTGGTGTTTGGGGCTACTAATGTACATATACATATGTATGTACTTACTAGCTGGCGGGCCTCTCGATGGATTTGCCGCTATGGTCCTGGAGGAATTTATCATGCCTCGCCTTGAGAACATCGTAATTGATAGGCTCTCCGCAGGGGCAGATGTGGCCCCTGATTTGGGATGCCAAGTTCTCCTTGGCCCACAAGCCATCCATTTCGTCCTGGGGAAGTTCCACGGCAGTGGCCCCGATCAGTCGCACCTGCCATGTGGTATCCTTTCCGGCTTGATCCTTGACATCCGGCATATAGAAGGTAATGCAGGCCTTGGGATTGGCCTGAAGGTTTTTGAAGTTGCGCGTATACCGATGCGTTATGTAGAACACAAAATTATCCGCGGTGAGACCTCGATACAGGACAGTGCGATTGAGGACTCCGAATTCCTCGTCCACCGTGGCCAGATTCATTTCCTGCATAAACCCCTCCGGATGTCCCTCCGCCGCTGCCTGCAGGATTTGCTTGAAAAATTCCACGGGATCGGAGGGAAAGTCCTCAATTTTGGCCAAAGCGGACGACATATTGCTAGGAACAAGTTTATAAGTTTATAATCACGATTAATATTGTTATTAAGTTATTACATTTTAATTATTGGTTTCTTTAAAGATATTGTGTTGAAAATTAAAATTGAATTGAAAGTTGTTCAAAATTGGCGCTTTTTGCCCGCTGTTATCCCTAACAGGGTTTTAACAGAACAAGAAGTGGTTAGCCAACACTGCCTCGTTAGGCGGCCGCCAGCTGTTCGCCGCGCGGCGTTTGCCAGCACCATGCCAAATCTGGGCTAAGTCGCGACAAAAAAAAAAAAAAAACAAAAAATCGGAAAAACGAGGAAAATCAAACCGGAATCGCGAGTCTGGGGCGGCTGAACGGGAACGGGAAAGCCCGCTGAGGAGCAGGAGCATCAGGATGACCTCCATTCTGGACATGAAGGCCGGTCCGCCCGACTACTGGGCGGAAATCAGCAACTTCTTTCTGCCGCTGAAATACCTGATCACCAACGACCGCTTCGATTCGTTGGTCCGGGACATAGACTTCTATTACCTTATCAACGGGGTCTTCTGGATCTTTGTGACCTTGTCCTGCGGCTACTACGCCTTCCAGCGCCTCTTCCAGGTGGGTCCTGTTCGGGGGTAACTCCTGAATCTGAATCCAAATGCTTTGCAAATCCTGCCAATCGACGTAGCGCCTCCAATTGCACTTTTCTTTTGAGGGGTTGCTCGGCCGAAATCGCGTTTATAAATAAACAGAGCGGAAACGGGGACGGATTCGGATTCGGGGGGTTGGCGGGTGCCACCCGGGTGGGGCACCTAAATAACGATGGCTTCCACCCCATTTGGGGCGCAAAATTCAATACTTCTTTGAGAGTAGTTGGAGTTTTAAAAGCCCCTTTACCGGCAAACAATATGAAAAATCACAAAAAAAAACTGTGAGGATAAGCTATACAGTGGTGATTATAATAAATAGTTAGTGCTCAAACCATGGAAAAGGTTATAGAACAAATAATTAAAAAGTTGTTTGTATTTTGTGCCCATTTCAAGTAGGTAAGGCAATTAAAGGCATTTTATGAAATTATTATTTTAAAAAAATATATTTATATAAACGTAGTTAAATTGTCTTAAATATCGTAGTTTTTTAATAAGAAATAAAGTAAAAGAGTAAGTTAAAATGAAGTAAAAAAGAAGTCTCTTAAGTTATATATCTTTTTCCTTTAGAAAGTGAATAGTTTTTTAATAACCATATAGTACTTAGTTTGAAGTGCTGAATACGATTAGGACTTAATGGAAATAGTGATTATCATTGTACTTTCGATTTGCAAAATCCCAAAATGGTTGCATTCCGGTCCTGGCATCAGCGATAGCATAATCTGGCGACCACCGACCGACGGACGCTGACCACAATCCATTATCTGTAACGAACCAAGACCAATGTTCGACTAATTGTCCACTTTACACACTCCTCCGTGCCGTCTGCCCGTTGCAGTTCTTCCTAAAGTCGTCCAACATGAAGCACTTTCAGCGAAGGCTGTTCGCCCGCGTGATCTGGAACATCGCCTTTTACTCGGCTAGCTGCCTGTTCCTGCACTTCTACAACGAGTTCATGATCCTGCCGCAGCTTATGAAGAACCAGGGACGCTACTCGCTGTTCTACTCCTTGGAAAACCTCATCTTCTATCGCTCGCACCAGGCGGAGAAGTTCCAGTTCTACTCGATCTTCATCATCACGTTCTACCTGCATGGGGCCTGGTTGGACTTCAAGGACGCCGATTTCCTGGAGGTGGGCTCCAAGGGACTCTACCTGCTGTCCCTCGTCGCCATCGATGTTTACAGGCAAGTCCAGACGTGATTGCTTTTGACCTGATCCCTAAAACAGGGCTCAATATTATGAGCCTGTAAGCTCAATGTTAAGTCTCCCCCTTCATTCTATAAAAAAAAGCCCTTTATATAGCTTTAAATGTGTATCCACTATAAACACTTGCTGTCTTATTTTATGAATGAAAATGCTGGGGAATTTTGCCGTTAAAAAAAGTTAAACTCAATTATCACTGAAAGGCAGGAATTCAATTATCAAAAAATAAGTAATGATAATTAAATCAAATTTCATTGTTACAAAAAAAAGTAAGCACATGTCATTATTGTTACAAAAAAAAAGTAAGCACATTTCATTATCATAAAAAATAAAAGAGACATGCCATTTAAGGAACATTTAAGTATCAATTAACAACTTAATGCTTCTGGTCTTGTTTTCAGGTACGAGAACTACTTTGTGGGCCTGAATCTGACGGTGGGTCTGTACAGCATACTTACCGAGGTGCTGGCCCTGCTGGTCCTGCCCAGCACCAATTCGCACCGGATCATATACCAGGTCTTCCTCGGCCTGCGGATAGTCGTGTGGGCGTATGTGTTCGTCAACCTGCTGCCCTTCAAGTACTTCATACCCACGCTGTTCGCCAAGAACTTCAAGCTGCCCCTCAACGTGCCGATTTGGTTGTGGTACGGCCTCTCGATCTGGAATTCACCGGTGCTGCAGTATTTCTACCATCAGATATATCACACAGCGCCCTCAGATTGTTCGGGCGAAGGATCGGCGGCTAAGTAAGAACTCGTTGCATTTGAAATTCATAACTAAATGTGTGTTTGCTTGCTGCAGGTGCATCCTGGTCAAGGACACCAGTGAGTTTCGACACTACAAGACGCTGAAAAAGGCCTATTTGGAGGTGAAGCTGGCCCATATTAGGACCACGTCCAACTCGCTGCCCTCCGAAACCAGTTCGGCCTCGGCCAAAACCTTTCAGGCCATCAAATGCGTCATGATGCTGAAGCGCAAGTTGAAGCGGATTCGCGAGGGACGTGGTCATGAGCCGGAGGATGAGAACGATGATCTGGTCACCGATGCCTAATCTCGTCCAGAAGCAAGGACGGCGCACACTCTTACACACGTAGACACACATTTCCTTAAACCAAAAAAGACACAAGTTCTGCTTAGGCTAAAAATTCAGAAAGTTGAAACTACCTCCCACTGGCTATATGTAGCGCTCTCACTCTCTTTTCCTCTCTCTTTCTCTCACTCACACAAAGGCTAGTTGAGGTTTGTGCGCGTTTGCTAAATCGTGATCAACAGTGCGTTTTGGCAACATAAAAACATCGTAGAAAATCTCAAAATCATCCTCAAAATGTGGACAATTTCTAATGATTGTCAACATAAATATTTAAATAAATTTTACTAGCTAAAACATTGGGTAAAATTCAAGTCCTAAAAATTGTCAATTTATCAACGAATGTAAACATTTTTAAAAGTTTTGGTAGCTGTCAAAATTGCATTATTAAAGAGACTTATAAGTCTTAATTTTATTAGTTGTTAAAATAAAGGATAAACTAAATTCTAGATGATATTCTTAACTCAAGATTTAAAATTAAAATCAAAAGGTTCGTAATATTTCAATGAATTGTCAACATTACTGTATTGTTAATCGATATATTAAATTTAAGATGCTAAAATCATGTTTCAAAATGAAAAATCTAAGAGTGAAGTTAAAAAGACTATACAAAATTATTGATTGTCAAAATCTTAGGTCAAAAAGTGAGGCTCATAAAAATAATCTCCTAGGAATATTTAAAATATTTGTATAATAGATAAGATTATGATAGTTGCCGAACGCACTGCACTAAATGTACTTATTCGTGATAAACTGCGGTACAGTGTTGTTCCATATTAGCGAAAAATACTGTTAGTTAACAATTTATTTATTTAACCTCTAGATAAATTTTGTACCCCAACCAATCACGATTTGGCTAACACGTGTAAACCAAGCGGCTGAAACTACCTTAGCAAAATAAAAAATTATCGCCCGATTTTTGGCGCCAATGGAGATCGCCTCGGCTGATATATATAGTTACTATATCTCTCCAACTCTCTCTCTCTCTCCCTCGCACACACGAACGCAGTTTCTCTCTCCTTTAGATTTGTAAGTCGCCTTCAACTTATTGTTGTTGTTTATTCGCTGTGACTTAATGACATATTGAAATATTGTAATGTGTTTTTTTTCGTTCCTTTTAATTGAAATATACTATTTATGGGCTAAACGAGCGCAATTGAAATGTGTGTGTTGTTGTTACTGGTTGGTTGCCTTCGTTTCTTTTATTCACTTCTTAACTTTATTTGGGTTTCCCATCGTGGCTGAAATTTTATATTATTTATTTTCTTGCTTTATTTGATATTTGAAAAGAATTCTCTAGTTGAATTTCTGTTTCTCATTTGGTTTTAGTTTTTGCATTTCTTGTTTAGAAACTTTTTACTCGATATCCTTGCAATCGTATTTTTATATTTTGCCTTAAAAAGGAATCATGTTTCATGAAATATAATTAACAAATTTCTTCCAAAACTTATATGTTTTCATGTTCTACAAATTGAATAAAAATCGATCCTAATTTTAGAAAAAAGAATTGTAAATTGTATGCAATTAAGTTAATTATTAAAAACCGAAAGGGTTTTAATACCAGTCTGAAATTAGTTTAAAATATATTCAATATTTCTTTTTTAAGCATTGTTAAAAAACACATTAAACCAGATTAAGAGAAACAAAACTCTTTAAATGAAATTAGGTGTTAATTATTAAACCTAGATTTTCTAGTTTTTTGTTTAAGCACATAAATATACATAAAATACTTCATTGTTTTAGTTCGATTTTTATTATGTGTTTTAATATATATGTATATGGGTTCATTTTCATTACTGATCTCAAACTTTTTAAATCAATTGCAAGGGTATTTCAGTGTCGGCTAGCCGATCTTATAATTCCATTTATATATTTATCTTTTCTCGATTTGTTAACATAGATTCTTATTTTGGTTTCTGGGGCATTTTTCTATCATTTCATTTTCGCTTTGTTTTAAAAATTCTCTCACTAGAAGCTAAGTTTTAATTATAATTTTTCTTCGTTTTTTTCTTATCTTCTTGTGGTTTTACTTGAGTGTTGTTTTGGCTTTAGTTTAATTTTAAACATTATTTGGTTTTGGGTTGGCCAATGCTTGCAAATTTTTTTTAGAAAATCGTTTTGTGTTGGATTTTTTAGGTTTATTTTCGTGACGAACAAATTTTTACGTGCCGCGAAATATATTTTATTTTTGAGTTTAATTTTTTTTTCTTGGGAAAGTGAATGAGGGTGAGGGATGACCCCTGGCTTTGAGCAAAAAAAAGTGGTCTCTATTTTTACAATTATTTGTTTTCTTAGCTTTGTAAATCGTATAATTTTATAGTTTTTTTCTTTGCTTTGTTTAAATATATTTTTTAATTTGTTTTTCTTTTTTGTCCATTTGTGTTATGTTCTTAAAAGTTAGATCAATTCGTTTTTGGTTTGCTTCGCTCATTTTTAAACAATTTTGCTAATTTTTTCTTTGCTGTGTATATCGCTTATCAATTTCTTCTGTTAGTTTTAGTTTAATTTTAATGTTAATGTTAATGTTAATGTTAATGTTAATTTTACTATTAAATGTATGCTTTAAAATTAGTGTTAGTTGTTCTGGGTGAACGCTTCTTAAACGTTCTGTTAAAGGTACGTTCTAAAAAAAATGTCACCCTTTATGCGACTTTCGCGTTTATAATTTTAGTGTTAGTTTCGCCGGCCCCACTTTGCCCCCGATCCCAAATATCTTTATATATATATATATTTATATATATGTGTATATCTATGTGCTTATGTATAAACTGTTGGAGCTCACAATGTCTTGTGGCAAATGGTAGCGACCCCAAAAAGTCGAGTTCAATTAATGTCCAAAGTCTAACCCCTTGACCCCTTGGCATATTGTTAGTTTTGCCCATTTTGTTTTGTAAAAAATATTTCAACATTTTTACACTTTTGTTTCTCTGTCTCTTGAGTTTCTTTTTCGTTTGTTTGTTTCCAATTTCCATATAAATACGTTTTAAATAAGTTAATTTTATTTTAACGCCTGTTTGTTTTCCATATTTTTTGTTAGGGACTAGTGATATATATGACACGCACGCACACTCACGCACTCGGAAATGTTTGCGCCGAGAGAGGACTTCGTAAATCCCTATATTTGGAACATGTATTTGTTTATTCCTGTGAAACCTTAGAGGTTCATTTCAATTGTGCTAAGGATGTTTTCAGCGAATTTTAAGACAATTTGTTAAGGGCAAAAAATCCGTATATCCTTTTTGTTACTTTAAATTTTCGAAGAAAAAATTTAAAATTTCAAGATTCATTACAGCAGTGATAAAAACCAAGACTACAAAAGACTTTCGGGGAGTTTTTTGCAAAAACATTATATCTAGAGAATTTTGATCACTTGCCTTTAATTTTTGTGTTTTTTTCCATGAAAGTTAAAAGGTTTGGTATATTCTGTAAAATTACAGGCAATTTGTTTTAGTTGAGTCGAACGAAAAGACCCATTTTGTAATATTGGGTTATTTTAAGATATTTTTTTCTGGGTTCTTGAATTATTAAAAATCACTGTTCCCCCGTCTCGCATTCGTTTTCAATTAATCAACTTACGAATACAATTATTTGCACTTGTCGCAAGAATCAAAACAGCGCCATGAAACAAATGCCAAAAACGGCAAACTTTCCGAATGAAATCAAATTCAAATTAGCCAAAATGCCCGCCCAAGGTGTGGGTGTGTGGGTCTTTGTGTATTTTTGGGGGCGTGGCCGATAATGAGCCTGCTGAAAATGAGCAGCAGCATCGGCAAACAGACCAACAGACCAACAACAATAACAATTCCAATATAATGAATGAAATTATGTTGAAAACATATTTTCCCTCTGCTCTGGGTGATTTCCCCTCCCCCCGCCCCCGTTACAAAAACAACAAATTGTCGACAAACTTTGTCCTCCTGACCAGCCAGAATATTTTTTTTTTTTTGGACGAGGGTGTAGGGCTGAGAACTGGGGAAAAGTCCGAAGGGAGGCTGTTTTCCTATTAGCAAGCAATAAATTCGCCGCTCTTATTCAGGCAAAAGGTGGGTCAAAAAACAGAAGCAGAAACATAGATAGCACATTAAACGATATGGGGCGGGAAAATGGGGGAGAGGGAAAGCGTGGGTGGGTTAGAGATGCCAGCAAGATATTTTAAATTTTATTGGCAACAAAATAAAACGTTTCATATATGTTTAAACGCAAACGTTTTAAAATTAATAAATGAAAATATAACAAACCAAATTAAAAAAGTCATGAAAAGTCATACCATTTAGAATAATTCAACTAGTTGAATTAATCCACATCTGTAAAAAACAACCATATATTTTTAAATGCAAGCCAATTTAAAATTACTAAATATTAAAACTTACTGAACAAATTCAACTATAGTTGAACAGCGAAAAGGGACAAATCTGTCCGCAAAAAAAAGGACAAGATAGCAGTACTGGCCTAGGGTGTTGGTGGGTCCAATTGTGGGTGCGGAAAAGGCTGCTGCCCGGTGGAAAATGTCGCCCAAGGGTGTAAAGTTGGTTTCTGCTTCGAGTTTTTGGCTGGCAAGCGAACCGAAAACCGGGAACGGTAGTCGAAATGGCCGTCGAGGGGAAGTTGCCCCGAAGTAGCGACTGTTTCAGCCGGGCTATAACTTTATGATTGCTTTTGTATTGCCCACTGCGTTTGGGGGCCGACACGCGACACTCGGGAACATGGACATAGACACATAGATAAATTGCTGGTACAGTGGGAAATGCTCAATGATGGATATTGCCGGCTCAGCCATATACTCCTAGTTTTTTTTTTTTGGTTTCCCTTTTTATTTCGTTAAAATTTAAAATTTAAATTCGAATTGAAAGGTGCATTGGAGGGGATTTAAGGAAACGGTTGGCTTGCATTGATTTAAATGCTTCAACTGGATGTGCATTTTTTATGTTCACACCGGATACGGAAAGATTGTAGATAGGCAATGAAAGGGTAAGAACCTTACATTTGCCCTTAACATTTTAAGTGTCGCTTGTAAGTGAGTCTTGAGATGATCTACGGAGTGGAAAGTTTGGTATAAAACGGTTAAAAATCTTTATAAAACAGTTAATTGAAGACAGTGGAAAACATTAATAAACCTTGATAAATATACACAATAAATATAACAAACTTTGTTGGCGAAAAAAAAGATAACAAAAAATTACATTACCTTAAGGTTTAGAAAAAAAAAATATTTTTTAAAACTCCTATTCCCTTGTGCAACTTTGTAGCCTTTCGAATTCAGGGCACCAAAATCAAAAATATCAAGAATGTCAAAAATTGTGTTAATGAACTGGTTAATTTCTTTTCCCACCCGACTTCCCTTGTCGTGACTTAATTTGCCCTGCCACAGGAATTTCCACTGTGAATACATTTAGGCCGTCAAAGTGAAAACAAACAAATAGACCGAATTCTTGGCTTCGTTCGCTGCTGATACGCATCGCTCATTGGCGGCCAAGAAAAAAAGAAAAAAATAGAAGAAAAATAATGAAACAAAGCAAAAGTGAGAGCCAAAGGGAAAAGCATAAGCAAAAGCAAAATCAACAGCCAAAAGCAAAAAGCAAAAAGCAGAAGGCAAAGCGATCTGGCAAGGAGCAGGGCTAATGTCCTTTTTGTGTGTGGCCACACAGTTTGCATTGTTACGACTTCAGGGAGAAGTCCACCGTCCACCGTCCACCGACCACCGACCACCCACTTATTGGCCCAACTCCCCATTTCCCCCATTTGTTTTTGTTGTGTCCTGTGTGCCCGCAACAATTATGATTTGCGGTCTCCAACTGCCCCATTCCAGGCTTACTTATATAACCTATTAAATGCCTTTCGCTTAAATAACATCAAAGCTACACGGAAAGGAAATACCACTTCCTAAGCGTCCTAAACCCAAAAGCTCTAGTGACTTAGCTGGAATTTAATGACTTTTGAAGAGTTTTTAAGGGATTGTTGTGGTTCCTTTGAATAAAACCTATTATTTAAATTTTTATTCCAGTTATGAATCCTTTTATTAAATCGAATAATTTTCTGTTCCTTGTAATTAGAAATTTCTTTCTGGTCACAAAGAATTAAAAACTGTTAATCATTAAAACAATTCTTAAATTGAAAATGTATCCTAAATAAGTTATATTGAATTGCAAAATGCGAATCATTCATGAAATACCTTAATTAAAAATGTTTTTATCGTGCCCCTTAAAAAATCCCAATTCGTAAGAAAAAATATCCAAATAACACTTTTTAAATTTGTAAATTGAATCTTCGCGAACATAAATAAATTGTTTCTCTCTGTGCATAAAAGCTTCAGAAATTTGTGCTCTTTTTATATCCCAAACCGGATTCAGCTGACATCGCCACTCCCGCCATCTTCAGATATAATATTTCGTTAATGGCTTTTCATTTTGTGTGCATTTCACTCATCGCCCCATCTCCCTCTGGCACACTGTCTGCCATAGCTCTTCGCTTGCATTTCATTTAATTAAAAACTGGAAAAGTGTTGTGTGTGATATGGGCGGGGTAGAGGGGAGGGGGACCCAGGGGGCGTGGCGGGAGCAATTGCATTGCGGTGACTGTGATTGACACTTGCTTGTGACGACACACGCATTGTGGTTTTTGTTTTTGTTGGCTTCGACAATAATTCAGGATCAGGCGACAAAGAATCCAAAATCAATTTTAATGATAATATTGATTCCAAATTTTACAAAACTAACAATTTAAATTAAATAATGTTTGAAAACAGTTGGTGTAATAAGACCATTATTGGGACTGAAATAAACTTTGACTAGCGCTAAAAACTTGTCGCGCTATAATAATAAATAATATAAAAATCATAATTACTAGCAATATCTTATTTAAGCTTTTTAAACTCAAAATGGTTTGTGTAGAAGAGGACATTAATAGCAATAGAAAATAGTTTTTAATTATAAATATAAGCTTGATTTTATTGTGCTAATTAAATTAAAGGAACTTGTTTATTTGTTTAATTTTTTTCCCTTTTGTGGTCCTGCCAAATCGAAGTGAAAAGTTTGTCGCCTGTCGACTGTAAAAATTTCCCTCGACTAACAGAAATATGTTAGACAGGCCAACTGCATTTTAAAACTTTCTTTTTTTTGTGTGAAAAAAGGGGGAATTCCCCTGCTGTCAATGTCCTTTCTGTTTTTTTTTTGTTGTCTTCCCCTAATCAGGCATCATTTGATTTTATGAGCAATAAAAAGTGTAAGGCAAATAAACGGTGCTGCAAATAAAGCAATCGCCATATAATACCAGCAAAAATGCGAAGGCGAGTTAAACTTTTTTTTATTTTGCAGGTAGCTCCACTAACTTTTGAGTTTATTTTTTTTTTATCGTTTTTCGTGAATTATGCAACTGAAAATTATCATAAATTATGAGCGTGGCGAGCGTGGGAAATGTTAATTGGGCGGCAAAAAGAAACGTGAGCAACTTGAACGCGTTTTTGCCAATTAGGCAGTGCAAGCGCCAAAATTGAATTTGAATTTCTAATGGTGATTATTTACTATGCACACACATGCGCTCGCACCAACACGCATATAGGCCCACGTACACTTGGGCATAATAACTAAAGCTTTGTGCTAACTAATTGCCCCAAGGCGAAATCGTGGAGGGGGGTTTTTTGGCTTTTCCGGGGGTCTGGTGCTGCGCTTGCCCCCATTCTCTTCCCCTTAGTTTTCCTCGGTTTATTTGCACTAATTTGCATGCCTCATTTGCAGTCACACACATACTCATGCACACGGAGAAAAAAAATTAAACGTAATAGTTCATAATTTAAGAAAGCATTCTTCATGTAAAGCATACCAAAAACATTGTGGGTTAGCTGAAACGTAGTTTAATATTGGAACGTTATTAAGAATTAAATTGAATGGAAAACAACAGATGTGAACTTCATAAGCCTAATAAATAACTTTTAAAAAAAGTGTCACTTTAGATTTAAACATTTCATAGAAATGTATCAAAATTATGGATGAATTGCTCAAAATGGATGTTAGTATGTTTGCATCAATAATTTGGATGGCTTTTATTTTCCTAATCAGAAGTAGATTTCATTGGCAAGGCGAATATAATTTAAAGGACATGGGTCTTGAAGAATACAGCTTTCTTAAATCAGAAATGTTCTCTTGTTTTTACCCGCTTTTCTCTCAGTGTACACACACATATACATATATATTTGCCTTTTTTGTTGGCTTCTTTCCTGTTCCTTTATTTTGGTTCGCTTAGCTAACTAATGTTGTTCTCCTTCTCCTCGTTTTCTTGTTCAACAAACACACTGTTTTTTTTGTTTTATTTCGTTATTCTTGATGTTTGGCTAGGCTAATTTAATTTCACTAATTTAATTTCGCTCTCAATTATTACCATAAATCGTATTTAATTATCTGTTGCATACTATTTTGCGCTTCGTTTCATATGAATTGGTTTTACTTAATTTTTTTTTTTTATTTTTATGTTTTGTCTCTGTTCATTTACTTTGCCTAGAAAAAAAACCGCTTTGTTTAGCATCGTTTGCCTGTTTAAACATTAGTGTACAAATTATTTATAGTTAGTTATACCTTTTATGTATACAACAAATACAATTTTATAGTTATAGTTACTTGGTTTCTCGTCGTCGTTTCTCGTTTCTGTTATGTTTTTGGAACAAGTTTTGTGGTTATTTTTTGTTTACCCCCTCTCTTGTTTGTTGTTAAAGAAAAAACAAATGCGAATTTCATTCATTACTTGTGTTTTGCTTTTGTTGGCTTCTTCAGACTGTGTGTGGTGTGAGTTCCCCGGAATACTGCGATATCGATCGGGCCACCGACTCATCAACTTATCGAACTGTCAACTTATCGACCTATCGATCCGCTTACAACACTGGCCTGGCCACATTGGGCTTGGCCGTCGTCGAGGCGATCTCCGATAGCTTGATGTCGATGGGCATCCGGGTGTCGTAGAGCGTCGGAGCCTGCAGGATAATGCCGGCGGTGCCGACGACCACGGCTATTGTGAAGATCCACAGGAACAGGCGGTCGAGCACCATGGCCACGTACTTCCAGTCCTCTTTCACCTGTTCAAAAAAGAGGTAAGAGAACACAATTATAAGCAGCGTTCAGTGGTTATTATAAATGTTTTTAAATGACCAGAAAACAAAGACTATTTGTTGAACTTTGTTTGAATTTGTACTTGACCTATTTAAAATAGTTTCTTAATCCCCACTTCGGTTATAATAAACTGATTAGTTTATTAATTCGGCTTGATAAAATCATTAAACGGTAAACATAGCTTTATTAAACGAAAGCATGTATTTGATAAACACAAATGTTGTAATGCTGTTTTTAATATAAAACATTAAATTTTGTAGCAAACAAAATTCCCGCCTCTATTGGCATTCATTCGATATTCATGCGATGGGCCTGGAGTTCATAAGCCAGGCAATATGTTCAACTTTGTCCACGCGTCTTGCGACTAATTCCCCAGTCAGTCCGATGCCACGCCCCATCCCAGCGCCTCCCATCACCCAAGGGGCGTGGCGCAAGTGACACGCACTCAATGTAAATGCCGCCGAAGCTGTCTCGCATTTCTCAGCATTCGATGTTGCAGTGTAGCCAACTTGGACATTTTATAGCCGAATGTCTTCTTAACCGAAGGCCCAAAAATGTTTAAATGTTTTTTAATCATCATTAATTTTTTTTGATACCGAAATATTATATATGGATAAGGGATAAAACTAAAAAATTGTTAAAAAAATAAATTAATACAATTTCTATTTAACAGAACATTATTCTGGAACTGTTAGGTAATTTTAAGAAATTTTCTATTTAACAATATATGATTCTTTGAATAATAACAAACATTATGCAATTGAAAATGACAGTAATTGCAAATCATAATAAGTGACACTTGGTGTACACAAATGGTGCCCATATTCGTTTGTATATTGGTAAGTATTTTAAGGCCTTTAATTGAAATTCTAAATTACGTGCAATAAAATAAAAATTTGATTTAGATAAATATAAGTTAAATAAACTTTTGGTTGTCTGGAGTTGACAACACTGCTCCTGGGCTCTGTTTTCTGTTTTCTGTGTCCTGACTCCTGTGTCCCGTGTTCCCTGCCCCGTGTCCTTCTCCCTCCATTTTCCGTCCGGAGGTGCCCTAGTTCTGTCCAAGTGTCCGGGAGTGTCTCAGTCCCAGTCCCAGTCCCGGTGCCACTCCCTTCGCGTTCGCCGCTAAGCCCGGCAGGACATTCCAATAATGATTGAATGTGTGCGTAATTTTAATAAAATACTTTTATTGGCATTTTGTTCGATGCCACAAGAAAACATTCATTATGATGAGAGGACAGCAGCAACAGCAATGCTCGCAACTACGCGAACCACCAGTCGTACAAGGCTGCACTCAACGAAAAAAAATCTTCTTTAAGTTCTATTATTAAGAATTTTTATGGATGCAAAGCAAAAATAGTTTGGTTGGGACTGAAATCTTTCAGAAAATGCCATAGATTATTCAACTAAAGCTCTTTTAAAGAACATCAAATTATTTTTGTATTAAAATTTATATTTATTTTTGGTTTTACAGCATATGCTTTATACATTAATTTATGTTTTATACATTGTAAACGAAATTTCGCTGAGTGTGCGATGGCAGGGCATGGCCATATTCGCCGCTCAATAAGGCGCATGAAAAGTCATTAAAACTTTTGGCGCAGCCGGCATAAGTCCGTCCATAGAGGCGATGCCCCACGGACACACATATGGACACCGGGAAAAGGACCGGGAAAGGTCAACAAAAGGGCAGAGCCAGTGACATTCGGACATCATCAACAACTAGGTCCTGACCAAGGTGTCTAGGCACTCGAGTCTCGAGTTTCGAGTCTCAAGCCTCGAATCTCGAGTCCTGGCCATCGATTATCGACGTGCCAATAAATCCCGCCTTAGGCCGCTCTAATTTATTGCGCCAGGCTTATTAACATCAAAACCCACACTGACTTTTTCGACTGTCTCTATCTCTGTCTCTTTCTCCGTCTCAGTTTCGGTCTCTTTCTCAGGAGCCCCCCTCTTTTTCTGACCAACCGTTAAGCGGCTTTTGGGCCACTTGTCCTCTTTTCTTCCGGCTTTTTAGTTTCCTCCTCTTTATTTGCACTGGCGTGCAGCAATTACGGCATTCCTTAAGAGCACGGAAAATTCGTTTTCCATTGGGACACGAAAACATATTTCCTTTTTAAAGTGAATCCCCCAGAACATTGGAAATTGGACACTGAAATGTTCAAGTGTACTTCAGCTTATTGATGGTATTGTTGGACTGTATTGGTAGTATTATTTGCTATTATGGCGATTTCGAGCGGCTTAACAGTTAATAATGAGTTAAATCAGGAAACGGAAACTAAAATTGGATTTTTCTTTATTTTTGGCAACCATTACAAAATATTTAAAATAAATAAATAAATTGAGTGCTCGTAAGATTCAGAAAAATTAATTTACTAACATTTGACTGCAAATTTTGGAAAGAAAATTATGTAATGAACAATTCTCTTGTTTTTTTTAAATAACATAATTTTTACGAAAATATGCAAATATGCATTTTTGGCTATCAATGCCATTCGACAGTAAATTCTATTACGAATTCAACGGTGTATGGATTTCCAACTTTTGACCAGGGTTTTGTCCCAAAAACCGAGTTCTTTTTTGGGGTTTTTTAGATTTTTCAAACAAAATTGTTTCTGAAGAGTCTTTTTGTTGTGACTTTGCTATTGCGTTGCTATTTTGAACAGCTGGCAACCTATGCCATCCATCCCTGATCGATTGAAAACAATTAATTTAGTTTTGACAAAAAAACCGAATTTTGAAAAACGATTTTTGAAAAATTTATTTATGTCCAAATTTCTAACTTTTTTGTAAGGGGGTACATCATCATTTTTTGCAGAAATTTGAAAATCTGAAAAAATTTTAACTGTGAATGCCATTTGATTGGAAATTTTATAACGAATTCAACGGTGTATGACAATCCAACATTTGACCATTATTTCCCAGGGTTTTGACACAAAAACCAAGTTTTTAATGTGTTTTTTGGGGTTTTTGGCGATTTTTCAAACAAAATTATTCCTTAAGAGTCTTTTTGTTGTAACTTTGCCAAAATAAGACCCAAAGTCAAAAGAGTTGCTATTTTGAACAGCTGGCAACCTATGCCATCCATCCCTGATCGATTGAAAACAATTAATTTAGTTTTGACAAAAAAACCGAATTTTGAAAAACGATTTTTGAAAAATTTATTTATGTCCAAATTTCTAACTTTTTTGTAAGGGGGTACATCATCATTTTTTGCAGAAATTTGAAAATCTGAAAAAATTTTAACTGTGAATGCCATTTGATTGGAAATTTTATAACGAATTCAACGGTGTATGACATTCCAACATTTGACCATTATTTCCCAGGGTTTTGACACAAAAACCAAGTTTTTAATGTGTTTTTTGGGGTTTTTGGCGATTTTTCAAACAAAATTATTTCTCAAGAGTCTTTTTGATGTAACTTTGCCAAAATAAGACCCAAAGTCAAAAGAGTTGCTATTTTGAACAGCTGGCAACCTATGCCATCCATCCCTGATCGATTGAAAACAATTAATTTAGTTTTGACAAAAAAACCGAATTTTGAAAAACGATTTTTGAAAAATTTATTTATGTCCAAATTTCTAACTTTTTTGTAAGGGGGTACATCATCATTTTTTGCAGAAATTTGAAAATCTGAAAAAATTTTAACTGTGAATGCCATTTGATTGGAAATTTTATAACGAATTCAACGGTGTATGACAATCCAACATTTGACCATTATTTCCCAGGGTTTTGACACAAAAACCAAGTTTTTAATGTGTTTTTTGGGGTTTTTGGCGATTTTTCAAACAAAATTATTCCTTAAGAGTCTTTTTGTTGTAACTTTGCCAAAATAAGACCCAAAGTCAAAAGAGTTGCTATTTTGAACAGCTGGCAACCTATGCCATCCATCCCTGATCGATTGAAAACAATTAATTTAGTTTTGACAAAAAAACCGAATTTTGAAAAACGATTTTTGAAAAATTTATTTATGTCCAAATTTCTAACTTTTTTGTAAGGGGGTACATCATCATTTTTTGCAGAAATTTGAAAATCTGAAAAAATTTTAACTGTGAATGCCATTTGATTGGAAATTTTATAACGAATTCAACGGTGTATGACATTCCAACATTTGACCATTATTTCCCAGGGTTTTGACACAAAAACCAAGTTTTTAATGTGTTTTTTGGGGTTTTTGGCGATTTTTCAAACAAAATTATTCCTTCAGAGTCTTTTTGTTGTAACTTTGCCAAAATAAGACCCAAAGTCAAAAGAGTTGCTATTTTGAACAGCTGGCAACCTATGCCATCCATCCCTGATCGATTGAAAACAATTAATTTAGTTTTGACAAAAAAACCGAATTTTGAAAAACGATTTTTGAAAAATTTATTTATGTCCAAATTTCTAACTTTTTTGTAAGGGGGTACATCATCATTTTTTGCAGAAATTTGAAAATCTGAAAAAATTTTAACTGTGAATGCCATTTGATTGGAAATTTTATAACGAATTCAACGGTGTATGACATTCCAACATTTGACCATTATTTCCCAGGGTTTTGACACAAAAACCAAGTTTTTAATGTGTTTTTTGGGGTTTTTGGCGATTTTTCAAACAAAATTATTCCTTAAGAGTCTTTTTGTTGTAACTTTGCCAAAATAAGACCCAAAGTCAAAAGAGTTGCTATTTTGAACAGCTGGCAACCTATGCCATCCATCCCTGATCGATTGAAAACAATTAATTTAGTTTTGACAAAAAAACCGAATTTTGAAAAACGATTTTTGAAAAATTTATTTATGTCCAAATTTCTAACTTTTTTGTAAGGGGGTACATCATCATTTTTTGCAGAAATTTGAAAATCTGAAAAAATTTTAACTGTGAATGCCATTTGATTGGAAATTTTATAACGAATTCAACGGTGTATGACAATCCAACATTTGACCATTATTTCCCAGGGTTTTGACACAAAAACCAAGTTTTTAATGTGTTTTTTGGGGTTTTTGGCGATTTTTCAAACAAAATTATTTCTCAAGAGTCTTTTTGTTGTAAGTTTGCCAATATAAGACACACAGCCATAAGTGTTGCTGATTTGAACAGCTTGCAACCTATGCCATATAGTCCCAATTGAATAAAATTTTTTTGTTTTAATACAAAATACTGAATTTTGAAAAACGTTTTTTGAAAAATTTATTTATGTCTGGCTTTTCTCCCAGTGTACTCACTCTTGTGCTCTCCTCCTCCTTGCGCGTCTGATCAGCGATGTAGGTGACCCCGTCCATGGCCTTGTGGAGTTCGGGGCAGGTGTGCCACCGCTGGCGCACGTTGCCACGCCCAGAGCAGCAGTGCGGCCCGCCCTCGCGCTGGCAGGCGGGCAGGATATCACAGACGCCCGCCGGCGGCGGTGGGGGTGGTGGCGTTCCGGCGGCCGCCGCTGCCGCCGCCGCTGCTGCCGCTGCCGAGGTGCTGGGTCCGCCGGAGGCCGCCGCCGCTGCCGCTGAAGTGCTGGGTCGCTGGTGGTGCTGGTACTGCTGCTGCTGCTGGTGGTGGTGCATCTGCTGGTGGTGCAGCAGCTCCGACGACTGACAGGCGACCCCGGCGCCCATGCCCTGGTGGATCTGGATGGTGCCGCTGCAGCAGGAGTCCGCCAGCGTCGAGGCGGTGGCCACCGAGTTAACCGTCGTCGTCGACTTTATCACATTCGGATTGGCCATGCCGAGGTCGCTGGTGGTGGTGGAGGCGTGCGCCTGGTAGGCGTGCTGCGGCAGCGGCGAGAAGTTGGCCGAGCAGCTCGACTGCTGGCGGTACAGGTGACCCCCGCTGCCGCCGCCTCCCCCTGTTCCATAACCCCCGCCAGCACCACCGTTCCCATTCCCATTCCCATTTCCATTGCCATTGCCATTCCCATTCCCATTCTGACCCGTCTGGCTGGAGGTCGAGGTCATCTGGCGGAACTTGGTGGGCGTGAGTGGGTGGTCGAGCAGCGAGCCGCCCGTCTGCTGGTACTGATTGTGGTACTGGGCGTCGATCAGCGAGGATGTGGTCGAGGTCTGCTGGTTGGCCGTCGACATGGTCGGCGGATACAGGGAGCTCAGATGGCCGGTGATGGTGGAGGCACCTCCGCCTCCTCCTCCCCCCATGCCACCCATGCCCATGCCACACTCGTCCATCAGGTTGTAGGTCTGCACGCGGTGCTGTAAGTGCGGCGAGGTGCTCCGCGAAGTCGTCTTTGGGCTGTGGTGCATCCTAAAAGGGTACAGAAACACATCGTTAACTAAAAGCATAACACCCATAAAAAATCGCTAGTTGATTAGGCTAATAAAAGATTCCTGTAGTTTCATAAATCATTTTTAGCTTGGTCCGAAAAAATAGTTATTTAAAATTTTTAGTTTTAAAAGGCTTTTAGGATCCTTAAGAGTTTATAAACCGAAAAAATAAATTAAAAACTATAAACAATAAACAATACCCTATTTAAATGCAGTTTTATTTGTTTTTCGATGTTGGCTTAAATTTGTACACATTGTTTGACTAAAGTAAAATAGTTTATAAATAAAAATCTCGGATGGCCTTTAAAAATAAAATTACAATTTTGTGCGTTCTCTGCTCGTAAAAGTTCAATTTATATAAACATCTATGTTCGCTTTTTTCACCTCAAGTTCAGCAAGCAAATAAACTTCGATTTAAGTACAAATAAAGACGAAGAAACGCTCAAATAAATTCCTCCACACCTTCAAATACTTTATTTATTTTGCTAAGTAAATAAATAACTCAAAAGTAATTAATAGCTGAGAAGCGGAGTGCATCAGAAATGTTTTAATTTTGGTTTTACAAACGAATAAGAGCTCAAATATATTTGTCCGTAACTTTATCTGCTTATTTTTTTGAATTGAATTTGCTAAATAAGTATAATTAAATGCATAATAACAAATAATATCCAAACTTACCGAGACAAGGCCACCGGCGGTGGCAGCGGTGGTATTTGATCCCTCAGTTCGAGTCCGTTGCAGGTGCGCACCATCAGCCGGCGCGAGGATTTTCTGTGGATTAGAGAGGTCCAAGGACCAAGGAAGTCGGTGTTTAATAAGGAAACCCTGTCACTGTCAGTGTGGCCAGTGTCCACTCACATCATCTCGCTGATCGGATAAAGCGGACGCCGCATGACCAGGAAGCGGGGCAGCTGGTTGATGAACACGGTCCGCACCCAAGGAGCCATCGTGTGCGTCTGTGGTGACCGGAAGTGGATGTTTAGCACCAGGACCGTGACACATATGCTGCACGGCGAGAAATTGGGGAGCCGAAAAAGAGTGAAGCCAAAAATTTCATAAAATATTTAGAAACATAAAATAATCTTATTTTATACAAATAACTTGTTTGGTTATTATTTGTTGCTTAATTATTTAAAAAATAACTTATAAGAATAACAATGTTGTCAATTCTTCTTATTTCTTGAATGTTTTTAAATTGGGACATACCAATTTAGGAACGTTTTTCTATAAAAATGTTGTCCTTTGTAAAATGGTAAATACATAAATTAGTTTTTCAAGTTGTGATCATAAAACTTTAATTTGATTGTAAACAATTTCGATATTTATAAAACGGATAAAACAGATTATTTTTAAGCTGTCAAGGGGCATCTTCAGTCGATTTACTACCTTTTTGAATTAAACTAATGTTTTGTTTCAGATAGAAGTCCAGCTTTAGTTTATTTCCGCTGTAGCATCTATGGAGTTTAGCTAGCTTTATAATCTAGATAAATAAATAAATTGTCGCTACGTAATATGTACCCTCTGCAGAAGAGTTGTTCAAGGACAAAATGCGGGGGTGGTGAGAACATGCAGAAAGGACTTAAGTGAGTTGCTCTCTTAGTCTGGGTAATTAACTTTCGACGCCCACGTCTAATTAGCAGCTGGCCAAGGCGTTGGAAAAGAATAAGGGCGATGGATGGAGCGGTGGAACGGCAGATGCCGGGTAGAGGGGGAAAAGGGTGTCCTGCCAGCCTTAATTACATCATTTGAGGCGAGGTCCTGTTGCGCCACTGGCGATTCCATTGTTGGCAGACTCGTCGACTCTCCGGCTCTCCGACTCTCAGTCGACTTTTGTTTACCAACAATTAGGCGGCCATCATTTGGTGTGCCGGCCAGCCGCCTTGTGGGCGTGGCAAATGACTGTAAATTGCCGCAGCCATTTAATAGGCCCCCAGCGGGGAGTGGGCGTGGCACCAAGCCAAACAAAGTCGAACGGCTGCCGAGCATCGAGTTTTATTTTCTGCCTCCGTTTGCAAACTTCCCAAAAAATCATATAAAAAAAAACAGCAGAAGTTTGAAATATATTTTTTAAACTACACATTTGAGTATTTTCCCAGACTCAAAATACATTTTTTTTATATGATTTTGGGTTCTTCAAATATACAATTTGTAAAGCATATTGTGTGTTTTTCATCATTAAATTCTATAGATATTTCTGTGTTATTTAAAAGTATCTGCTTTAAATGATTTAATTTCAAAGAAATTTAAATATAACATATAATTAACTCTTATTTGATTAACTAAATATGATAATTATTTGACAAACCAATGAATCTGGCCAATTGTTTGGAAATACTTTTTCTTTAGCTTGAGGGGTAATTTAAGTATCTAACATTCAGTATTTAGAATAAACAGTTGCATGAATTTAAATTGTATATATGACTTAATATTAAGTTGTTATTGTCAGAACAATAATTGCTTAGAAATATACTAATAACACTTTAAGAAATTAATTACATGAATACGTATTGTACATATAGATAGATATTAGGACTATTGCCAGACCAATTAATCTTTGATAATTTAAGAATATTGTTGGTATGCAGCATCCTTTGGCTGCGTTGAAGTCACATTAAGCTCTCTGGGATCGGTGGTAAAAGAGGAGGGGACTCACCTGAAGGTATCCAGTATCATGGTGAAGAGCACGAACTTTCCCAGCAGCGGCACCACCAGCGATGTGGGCGGAATGATTTCCGCAAGGAGCAGGAAGAACACAGTGAGCGACAGCAGAATGGATATGCTTAATGAGACCTGCAAAATATATATATATACACAAGGGAGTGAGTGCGAGCGAGACAGGAAGTTGGGGGATAGGAGATAGAGTCCTGGAGGCTGGGGGCGTGGCAAATCGAGCTGCACGTAGAGCGGAAAATCTAAAGCGCCATAAAGAAGCGACAATTGCAAACTGCGAACTGCGAGCTGCGACCAACAACGGGAAACTCCCGGTCCGATAAGGTATCTCATTTATAATGCATAAATATTGCTCAGACGCAGCTTAAGCTATTTTCCCCCCATGGAGAACTTTCCATTTTCCTTTACTTGTATAGTGTCGAAGTCAGGGTTTACAAATCGATTAACATAATACTGATTTTAGGTATGAGGTGTCGGAAAATTGTGTTAAGTCTATATTACACAAATCAATAACTCTAAGTACTTAACAAGAGAACGTACTTAATAAATTAGTTCAATGAAATGTTATCTTAAATCTTTACATTCTTCCTAACAAATATTATAAATGATGTTTAAACAGATTAATCTGTCGATTAAAATAGTAATAAAAATAACTTCCAACAGCCGTTTGCATTATTGAAATAACCAAGCCGTAAGTCGTTTGGATAAAATAATCAATATAAAAATACGTTTGGTCGTATTCATTAAAATCGAATAGTTACAGCAGTCATTAGGATTAATTTGTTATAAAACCAAAGACATCTAAGCCGTTTGGATTAATTATTAAACATAAAACAGTTTAGCTGGCTTACTGGCCTAGTTAATTAATAAAGAAAAGTTGAGCTTGACATAGTTAATTAATAAGGCAAAATCGCTTAAGCCTTTTCAATTTAGGTGCGTTATTAATAGACTTAGTTGGTCGGCCAATTAAGTAACGACCTTATATTTTGATTCATAATTTACTAGGCAATTAAATATTTACGAATGGCTTATCAATTGGAAGTATTTGGTAAGATATAAAAATACTAACTTACTTAACTAAATCCATAATAATTTCAATGTGATTGATTTTATTATTTAAAATGGTCACTTAGATTTTTCATTTAAGACTTGGTTAATTAGTCATGGCTGTGTAATTTTTGATTTCAGTGCCAGACAATCGGCAATATTCGCCTGGCCGGCAATTGGAGCCACAAATCCAAATTGATTTAGAATGCCTAAGCGGGCATCACAAGCAAATAATAAGCCCGGGCAACGGGGCGTATGAAAAAGCGGTTTGTCAGTCGGCAATTGCGGCCTTGCCAAAAGCTGGCCAACAAATCATATGCAAAAGCAAAGGCAAAGGCAGTGGGAAATGGAAAATGGGAAATGCCGAAGAAGAAAATGCCGTCGTTAAAATGGAAACGAAAACGCGGCATACTTTTCAGGGCGCTCAATAAAGCGCAAAATGATTTGTGGAAGTGGGCGGCAGTCGGCAGTCGGCAAGGGGGCGTGGCAGCTCACCTTATTTATGCCTAAGCTGCTTGTAATGAAGTGTGTTTGTATGCGTTCCGATGTGAGTGTTTTAGGAGAAAGTAATTAAATGTCGAAAATGAGACGCGCGATTTGAGTCTCTATTCTTTCTGTGTGTGTGTTTGTATATGAGTGTGTGTGTGTGTGTGTCTGACTGTGTGCGGCATTAATTTTCGATGCTTAATGATTTTATGATAATTAGCCTTAGATTGGGGCCATCGCTTGTAAAGCGATTAGTGACGTTGCCTAATTAAGGTTACAACTTGCCAAGCAAATCCAATGGCAGCATCCTCGACCTTTCCACTACAAATACACTTGCAAAACAAAGTACTCCTGTTCATTGAAAGTTATGTTATGTTGCTCTTGGTTCGTTCTAAATGTGTTAAGTTTTTTTTCATAAAAATATAATATTCACTTTTGCAGTTTTGCGCTTTTTTGTTTACAATAGTAACAAGACAGGCCAGTAAAAAATAAAAACAAATATAGATTCACTTAAAAATAACATAGAACAGAAAATGACTTTTTTTTCAGCTTAATTGTGTTCTCAGTGTGTTTGTGCCATTGAATGGAGTGCCTCAGAGATGGTAGCGATGGGCAGGGGGATCGGGATCCGTGTGCAGTCGAACCATGCTTCCATCACCGGCAGGTCACTCATTATTTATGCAAATGCTCGGTGTAATTAAGGTGGCCAAATGTATTTCGGCTACGATTTCGGTTCAGCTGGGTTGAGTTAGGTTCGGTCTGGATGGTTCGATGGCTGGACCGCCAACTGATGGAACAGTTTCAATCTGGACTCTGTTCGTAAAACGTAATTGTTTTGGCCATAAAAAAGCGATGCAAATAAACGAAGAGGAATCGGGAACAGTGCGGCTACTTAGTATTGGAAAAGTAGCCCTTCGTATTCTGCACAGAAAAAAAAAATGGAGCTAGCTTGAAAAGTGTTTGGGCATTTAATTATTATCATTTCGATTATTGTTATTATTATATATAAAAAAAAGTATGGGCATGATTGTTTTGGCAACAACATTTTATTTTGTTTATAACATCATAATAAAAGTTTCAGAGTATTTTACATGTTTCTGTTTAAATTTTTCTAATAAACTAAAAGTAAAAATATGAAATAAGAAATCTAATTCGTAATTTTCTTCTCATCAATTGATCTGTAAATATCTTGATAACTTTTTAATGTAATTATATAGTTATATTTTAAAATTATGCTCGTAACTTTTTGCTAACGTTACAATTGGCTAACAGATTAGTAGTTATTTATAACAACAAAAAAACTCAAATCGGTGTTCGACTAGGGGGGTATTTTTTTTAAGTGTGCCACAACCACCCCCTTTCCACACTTCTGCAATCGGCAATTGCATGAATGAAGTGCGTTGTGGCGCATATGCATGTAAATTGGCAATTCCAATTCCAATTCCGATGCCATCGCCGGGCTGGAACTACGGCCACGGGGGTCCAAAGGGGCGGGCGGTGTTCGGGGGGCGTGGCGGACGTGCCAGAGTTGCCATAGTTAACTGCAGACTGACCAGTGGCGGGAATTTCGGGCGCAGTTCGCAGTTTGCAGTTCCGCAGTTTGTGTCCTGTTTTATTTCGCTGCCTGCTTTTAGGCGTAAATATTTGCCAGCTCCATGTTTTGTTTTGTGAGTGTGTGAGTCTGTGTGTGTGTTTCTGGGTGAGTGTGCGTGCATGGCCATAAAAGGGACAACAGTGCAATGAAATGTGCCCACACGGCGCAAATCGTAAACGTTTCCCCTTCCCCAAAACAAAAAAATAAAAGGAAGTTGCCACAAAAAGAGCGAAAAAAGTCCTGGCAAAATAATAACAGACAAAATGATTATTTTTTATTGAACCAGCCAAGTTTAAGTACCAGGAAGGAAATACAAGTATTACTTATGGGAGTAAAGTAAATTGCCAATCTATCGAAAGTAATCTAAATAGTTTATTTTAAAAAATTAAATACATTGATAAAAAAGATAAAAAAAACCTTAATACTTATTAAATAATAAAACTTTTGCGCCTAATAAATTAATGATATTTTAATACAAAGCACTTAGTTTTTTTTTTGACTAAAATCACCAAATTTAATTTATTCAAAAGAGACACCTAATTATTATTGCAATATTCTAGAGCCTTAGCTATATTTTGTGGTTTTTTATGGAAGATTATTTGTGTAATCTGCTTAATCCCAATTTAATTTATCCAAATACCAATATAACTGGTGTTCAAAGCAGCTAAACAAACAGCATTAAAAATTGTTTAGGTATATGCTAACCGCCAAGAGTCGTTCAAACAGGTCGCATTCGTGTGACAGCTCGTTGTAATGCGTATATTGTTCGATGAGTACTCATCGAATCGGTTGCTCTCAACTCGATAATGCACACGCAAATCGCGAATTTACATAATGCCTGTTGGGATGGCCCATCAAATGCCCGGCGCTGTCAATATTTATAACATAAATTGCGATCCGTGAGCGATGGGGAAATGTCGGATGGCATCGGCATCAACCATCGGCATCAACCATCGGCATCAACATCAACATCAACATCAGCATCAGTAATCCACAAACCGCTTGCGCACACAAATTAATTTTGCATTTTATTTATTTTGAAAATTGGCCGTAATTTATTCATAAGTCCCAAGCAGCATGTAAATGTTTATATTTATGCAATATGCCATTTCGTGTTTTCAGTCTCGTTTGGCTTTTTCCCTCAAAGAATTGCTAAAGAACCGCAAAAAGCTCGCCAGACTTTTGTTCGCATTAAATTGAATACATCGTGTAATTTTATTTACTCAAACTTAAATGATGGCAAACTGGGCGAAAAAATACACCCCACATAGGCACACACACACACACACACACATAACACAGAAAGCAAACAGAACACCCGAATAAAAAATTAAAATCAAAACGAATAAAATGTTGAAATGCATTTTCATTTTCATTTGAGAGTGAAATCATTTATTTTTTTTTGCTTTTTTAATTAAAAGCACATTTTAGCGGATGGGCGTGGGACTGAGCTGGCAATAAATTATGGCAATTGGTTAAATGCAAAATAAATAAAAAAATCAGAATGGTGAAAAGCGTGGGGAAAATGGCAGCAGATGTGAAAAAAGCCAATGTAGCGGGGAAATGGGTAATGGTAAATTCAAGCTAATGCATTTCAGCTGCGGATGAACTTGATTCTAATGGTTAATTTCCCTATGAATAAATGCAATAACATGTGTATCATTAGCATAAATTGAGTGGCAGAAGCTAAAGCTTTTAGATAGCCGGGTCGCAACAATTTTGCGACTGATTTAATTAAACTTCAGCTTCTTAATTGAACCCGTTTATCAGTTAAAGTACTCTAGCAGATAAATGGCATAGAGCTACATTTGTTTCTACAAATCCAATTAATTACTTTTTTCGCATAGCTATTTGTCGACTAGTTGGTGGAAACGTTATCTACTTAAAAATATTAATATAGCTTATACTTTTAAATCTAAGTACTTGGCTTTGAAATCTACAATTTGTTTATTCATAAAAAATGTTTTAAAGAAATTTTCGGCATTCTTAAATCGTTGAAAATTATACTCAGGTGTCATTGGTATTATGTTTTGCATTTTTTGCATTTTAGTATTTTAAGTAGTCTAAGTTAAAATTTAAAAATAAACAGATAATAATGACTTACTACTATTAGGTGTTTTCTTAGTTTTACTCAGAAAAATAAGTTGAAAATTATAACTAGTTGAAAATTATTACTACTTTATATGAATGATAATTTTGACATTTTATTATCTCTCCTGAGCAAAATAAGTTGGGAATTATAACTAGTTGGGAAAAGTAGGCTTTTTCTTTCCTAATTTCCAACCCATTAGTGATTGCGAATTGCTTTATTTTATTATCTCCCCATAAGAAAAACCATTTGGGAATTACAAGCAGGTCCCAAGGGTCGGCGTGAACTCACCTTTTCGCCACTGTCCGATGGCAGATAGAACACGAGGATGGTGAGGAAGCTGATGCCCATGCAGGGGATGATCAGGTTGACCGTGTAGAAGAGGGTCTTGCGGCGCATCGTGATGTTGAAGGTGATGTCCAGATATGGCTCATCGCAGCACGTATAGAACTTCTCATTCCTGGAAAAAAAAACAACCAGAAAAATTAGAAATGAAAGGGGAAATCGAAGGATGAGTTAGGCAAATTGTTACGCAGCGCGTAAATATTTATTAAGGTTCATTCTGGCTGCCGATATTTATATTGATGGTATTTTTGTGGCATTGCCGTTGCAGCATCCGCAGTGTCAGCCACCCAAAGCCTATATTTATTTACATAAACACACATATATTCCCAGATATATGGCTCTCCAATCACATAAATCATCGGCCGCATGATAAATATTGTAAAATGCTGAAAAAATATTGGCCTAACTGCTAACTGAGTGTCAAACTGTGTATATTTTGTGTATTTTTGCGTAGCTGCGAATCGAAAGGGAGTGGCTTCAAAACATTCGTATGCGCGAAAAATAATTGTGAAATTCAATGAAGGAAATGGCTTTCAAACTGTGGTGTCAAGGTTTCCATGTTATAATAAGCTTCGAAATGTGTCCTGAAAATCAACTAATAAAAATGTCTATAAACTCAACAACTAGAAATGGTTGGGAGATATTATTTTGAAAAGCCAAGGGCCTAATATTTGAATTGTTTGCTTGACAATTTAACATTTTGTTACAAAATGTTTAAATTCGTAATATCATTTTGTTAATTGTTTGCTTGTTTATTTTAATAATTTTGTATTAAATTATGCAAAGCATGTTCATAAATGATTCCGTATTTTGCAAATATAATATTTTATAATATTAGGACCCATTAATTTCGAAAAGTGCAAAATTGTTTCTTTAAAAACAATCCAATTAGGATGACCAACTGAAAAATCCCTGCCACTTGAACTAACCCTCTGAAACTTTAATCCATTTGCGTTAATCAGTTCGCCAGTCATTCAGAATTTGAGCTCTTCTCATATTTTTGTTTGCCCCTTTTCCTTCCTCCGGACCAATGAATAATTTAAAAGTTAATAATCTTTGACTACGGCTGCCCACCAAAAACAAGGAGAAAATAAAAAAATAATGAAGGAAAAGAAAGAAAATTTTTGTAAATTGAGTCGAGCGGATTTTTCGTTGTTTTTTTTTTTTTTTGTACCCCGCCGTCGCACTTGAAGAACTCTTCGAACAGTGGCTGCCAGGGAACAAAACAACGAAACTGTATAAATAAAAAAATTCGCTACTGCTGGGCAAAGAAAAAAAGGGGTAACCGTAACCGCCTCTCCACGCGAAACTTTTTGCTGTGCTATATGACCGGGCCATCAATAATTCCGAGGGGCTTGCGGCTTCATTTTGAATAAGAAAATATTGTAAATAAATAATAAACAAGGCAAGGAGCAGGGATAAAGCGTGGGAAAGGCCAGGGGGAAGTACGAGGGTGCGGACACAATAACGACAACAAGGACGACAGCGAGGACGAGAACAAGAACGACAAGGATGTAGCCGGCAGGCAACTAACTGTTTGTGGCAGTTGACTTCCCTCCAAATAGAAATGAAGTATGTGGCAATAGGCACACAAAACGGGACGAAAAGCGGGCTGAAATGGGACGGGAATCCGGGATTGAAGGCCAACATCTTGTGGGTTAGTTTTGATGGCTGCAGCAATAAAATATAATTTGCCAAGGCAATTCCAAATGTCAGTCACTCGAAAGGGCCAAAGATATGGGAAGAGCATTGAATGGCAAAAATACGACAAAGGAGGGCAAATATAGAAGAGATATGGCAAAGGTATTGCTTAAAAGGGCCTTCATAAATATAAGAAAATTAGTTATTGCAATAAAGTTTATGTATTCTTTACTACATGCAACAAAACGACAATTTTTGGGAAAGTTTCATGCAAATAGAATAAAAACTGAGAAACTGAAACAAGTTTGCGTAGAAACGGACTGAAATTATAATACCCTCTACAAGGGTAATATATTTAATGTTTTAACTATTAATAAATAAACCATAATAATTGTTCCACCAATTAATTAACATTAGTTTAACTTCATTTCTTACATTGTAAATGGAAAACCGATTGCCTGTGCCCATTAAAAGGACATTTAAATGCGCCAAAACACAAGTGGGCGCAAAACCCTAAGATCCAATATCCTTCAGCTCACTTGGCTTTGCAAAGTCCCCCGATCGAATGCGAAAAATGTAATATGGCTACAGATTAAGTCTGCTGAAGTGAGCTTTGGTCAACAGGCCATGGAGTGTCCGAATGCGGGGGAATCCCCGCTCCACCGCCACCGCCACCGCCACCATTACTCCTTAAAGATAAGTTCCTGCAGACAGAGACACACGAGTTCTCTGACACAGAGACACTACTGACCCCGAAAAAAACGAGAATAGAAGGAAACAGCAAACTTGGAAGACCCTTAAGTCAGCAAACAGGGTGGCGCAGAGTGGGTGGCTTTGTACGTGTAAAGGTCAGTGTAATAAGCTCGGTGACTTGGTGGGTTCGCTTGGTTAGTTGGTTAGCAACCACGATGGGAAAACATACAATAAATCATAAAATAGGCAAGAAAAAAGGAAAAACACTCACACACACATAGGAATAGTACACGCGTGCCTACTCACACACACATACAGACACACGGCGCCGGGAGATGGCGCCACATAGGCAAAACACAAAACACCAAAAAAAAAAAACGAAAAAAAAAAATATACAAATAGAGAAAAGACTAGAACACGAACAACAACAAATACCAGCTAAGACCAGCAGAACTTCAGTTTGATTTGACTCGATGGCACATGGCACTCCCATATTTCCATCTCCCCCCATAAACAGAAAACACATCCCTCTTCCTGAAGTTCCGAAATTGGCAACAATTCATCAATGCGTTGGGCCACGCGACGTATGCGTAATAAAGGCTAGGGAAACAGAAATAAAAATGTTTTCAGAGGCTAAAAAGAGTCGAAGTCGTTAATATCCTTCCTGAATCCTAAGCATTTGTGGCAATTATCATATGTTAAATATAACCATTATTATAAGGCTTGACAATGCTGCGTATGCGTAATAATACGTATACGTAGTAATTATAAGTACGAAAAAATGTTTTTCAAAAAAGAATCCGTCGTACAATTGGTATTTATATTTAACATTTTATTTAACATTTTACCAGGAATTTTTGTTATGGATGAGGTGAATTTGCTAATCTAGAAAAGTTAAGGTCAAGATCGTTAAGTTTACTTTTAGTGCTTTAACAATTTGCATTTAAATAATTCATTACTCGATGACTGCCAAAGCGAAAGCAACTGGCAAATGCTCAAAGCCAAAGGAAATGAAAAACAAGCGAAGTCAAACAGATTTTCCACTTTCCCTCTTTCTTTGCCTTTTGTGAGCTCTTGGTGAACAATTTTCTGGTGAAACAGATTTAAAATCAAATGTTATTTAGATTTCCAACCGGCTCACCACTCTGCACTGCTCTGCGTTTGGGTCGACAACAAAAAATTAAGTGAATTCCAGCGAAATTGAATGTGTAACTCGGCACGTATTTCAGAAATGGAAGGGGTTTTCCCTTTTTTTTTTTTTTGAGGGTCTGAGGTTACCACACTAAAGTGACCGAAAATGGTCAAATCGCTGATTGACAACGGGGAATATGGAATACCGGGGCGGATTGAAGGGGAAACAGCTTGCTGATTGGAGTCAAAGAACAAACGCATAAATACGAAATGATTGGCAACATAAAAAAGAAACGAAGACATAAAGAAAGCACCACCCATTGCCACCTAGTTCGGTGGGAAAACGGGAAAATCGGGGGGAAAACTCGGTGGAGGATAGGTCTCAACGCTTGATTGATTTCAACAACTTTGTGCCAAAAGTTCTCTATGAGCTTCGAGTGTTTTCTATTCCTCGATTTCTTGTTTTCCTTCCTGCACGGCGAGAAATGGCAAAGAAGTTCGATCGAATAGGGATTTTTAATATTACAAATTACTTACAAAATATGCAGCAAACCGAAGCTTCAAACTTTATGCAAACCAGCTAAAAGTTAAACAGATATAGTTTTACATTTCTTTCCGTGCACCCATCTCTCACTTTCTACTCTGCTTTATAGATTCTCGAATTGAGGCCAGCCAGAAATCAAAGTAAGTAATAGAATTTTAATAACTAACATAAACACGCTTCGTTGCATGACTTGAAAAAAGAAAGTAGAGAAAAGAGAGAAAGTCTCCCAGGATTGGATTTTGCGAAAGTCTCCGGAGGCGAGGCAATTGAGGTGTGACCACAAACGAAAAAGCAAAGAAGCAAAACAGTAAAAAAGGGGAAAAGGGAGAAGGGGAAAAGGGGAAAAGGGAGAAGATTCTCTGGAAAGTTTACTAATTATGATTTTAATCGATCTGTGATAAAGCAACGGAACGAGTCTAGGGAGCGCCAAACCTCAAACAGAACCGAAAATTGTGCCTGGTAATCAAGCTTTGGTAATTGGGGGAAAGGTGAATGGGGGAAAGTGGTCGAGGAAAACGAGAGGAAAACAGGGGGTTTTCCCAGGGCCTTAGTGGTGTATGTGCCCTGCGTGTTGATTTGATGTTGTAAGACCCATTGCGGCAATTAAACAAAATACAGCCCCCAGGGGAATGGTAGATGTGGATGGCAATACGAGCACGACAACGAAAGACAACTCAATAAGCGGATACAAGAAGATGAAGGCAAGTCAAAGAAATTGTGCAAACAATGAGTTTATTTGAAGCAAGACTTATGGCTTTAATGGTAAAGAGTTAATTTGAATATGTTTAAGGGAAAAGATCTTGAAGTGTGATGGAGAAATGGGTATATGGGTATATACAATATATAATGAAGTTAGTGAAAAGGGTATGTAAGTATATACTTAAGGAATGGTTTTTGGATTATCCTCATTTGTATTTTTAATAATAAAGCTTTAACAAATATCTATTTAAATATTAAGGATTAATAATCAGTAAAAAATATAATATAGTTATAGAGTGACTAATAAAGGAAAGTTATCAGCAACTATACAAAATAAAGTTAAGATAAGTGATGGTGAAAAAATGTGATAGAAAACAAAACGCGAGCTGAAGGGCTAAAAAAAGGCGAGTTAAGAAAAACCCAAGAGTTTCCCGAAAACTTCCTTGTACTATGTCTTAATCCACAACATTTTCCACCATCCTGTGGCACTTGACCGTGCTGCCCTGCTAAACTATAAACTGCAAATTGCCAGCCTTGCGCACACTGTCGTTATTTTTCCTATCGGATCGGAGGAAAAGGGTTTTGAACGGGAATAAGCAGGGTTAATTTTATGGACCCGTGATTGCCCCAACTTTCGATTTCGCCCCCTTTGTCTCAGCTTCAATCCTTGGGGCCTCTTTCCAGGTGGTCTGGCCCACCTGTCCACCTGTCCACCTGTCTGTCTGTCTGCCTGTCAATCAATGCCTGATTGTCTGCCGCTCCCACCTGTTTTCGGGGGTACCTACCATACAACCTACTTTCCCCCCCCCTTATTTTCCCAACTGAACGTGCTGCGGCCTGCCACGCCCCTGCTGCGCCCCCTTCCCCCAGTTAATTTAACTGTCGATGCGCATTAAAACTGAATCCTGTCGGAGGCTCTGCACAAGTTTTTGGCAGGAGGTCCTGGGCTTCATGGGAAAATTGCTCTACGTGCTGTGAATTGTGTTGCAGCATTTTAGGCGCAGCACCAGCCTGCAGACAATAAAAGCTGCTTTTGAAGGGGCGAGGGGGTAGGGAAGAGGGGAGATGGTAGATTGAGGTGGGGTCACAGGCGTTTTGGTAAGGTGGCGAAAATGGGGCGTGGCTTGAAGGTTTAGAGACGCACAGCCGGCGGCCGCTTTTGTGAGTGTGTCACGCACTTGTGGCATAATTTACTGGCACGCCAAATAAACCAACGCTTTCTCACACTCATACACTTTTAACACACACACACACACAAATGCACAGGTCCACAAACACACACGTAACTGGTGCTGTCAACTTTTTAATTCCCGTCAATGACTTGAGCCCCGTTTTCAGTGGTTTCAGCTCTCAGCTGGCAAAAGGTCTTAACTTGCCATTGATACCCTAACTTTGAGGCACTACAACTAGGCCAGCAACTATGTCACACCTTCGTAGAATTCGTATTAAAGATCTTAGTTAATACAAAACAAAAATCTGGTTATTAACACTTACAAGAATAGGTCAAAACAAATAGGTTTTTGTGTTCCTGGTAAAACTTTTATAGTAATTTTACCGACTATATTTTGTGGCGCATTTAAAGAAGACAGCATTTGGAGCAAATGCTTCAGATTAGTTTTCCATTGTTAATTTATATAATATTTGCTAATCATCTGTTTTTTTTAAGAGTTAATATTAGGGTATTTGGTTAACTTTAATGCCTGCTCATATTTTGTTGCCGGCTTTGTTTTATTTATTTACTGCTCACTGTAGTTCAGCCTTGTCATTTCCGTCTGTCACGTGCCGCTTATGAAATATGGTGGATGGAGTGAGTAGAAGATTTTATCACTTGGGTCTGGCAGGAGGTCAAAGGGCAAACGAATTAAGCTGTTCAGGTCTTGAATGTTTCAAAATATTCATAGGTGTCAATAAAATATAAATGTTCTTAGAATAATTTCTCTGTTTGCATACTGATTTTCTGAAAGTTTCATAATAATACCTTCCATTTCTTCTAATTCTATTGTATATAAGAACTTTTACTTGTGAAACAAATGTTAGGAAAGGGGAGCAAGCGTTAAAAAAAAACTGTTTGAGAAAGAGAATTGAACTCTTGCCACTGATTTATTGACCATATCTTGCCGCCACATGCGACTTTAAAATAGTTCAAGGGAATTATTGCCTTGCTCCCATTCCACTTTCCACTTTCGCCTTTCTCTTTTATTTTTTACGGGCTTTCCCACCCAATTTCTCGCCCCTCCAAATACTCATACACCTGAAGAGTTTACGGCTTTTTGTGCTCCATTTCGGTTCGGTTTAGGAGAACGGTGGGATACATAAACAACACTTTCCCGACATTCACGCTTTTCCACCTCACCACCTTCCCCGAAAGGCGCACAAAAAATAACATACCCCCATTTATCCCCTGGCTGGTAATACTCATATAAAAATAAAATTACTTTGGAGACGGGAGTCGCGACTTGTTTGTGGCTTCCACGCGTGCCAATGACAACAACAAAAATGAACAACAATAGAAAAGTTAAGTCCAAAAGCTAGATGCGAAAACTAACATGAAAACTACAACCTTTACTTAGTTTATTTTTTAGTTCTAGTCGATAAAATAATAGTCCTTTTCGTGTTTATTGAGTATTTATAGATTAAAAAAAAAACAAAATACATTTTCGGCCCAAATTCGCTTTTTTGTAAGGGGTATTTAGGGCTTATTTTTCTGGCATATTTTTTGAATGTGGCGTGTGTATGTTAAAAAAAAAAAAATAAAATAAAGTAGTTTTATGAACAGATTTTCTACTGTCATGGCTATTTTACTTCTTAGAAAACAAAGCAATTTTTTTTATATACAAAGAGTCTTATGCATCTTTTTATATTAGCAACATATTTTGCATTTTGAAGACTTAAATAAATAAAAGTAACAAAGTTGTGCCATTCCAAGACAAGACAAAGCAATATCAAAGCAAAAATCCAAGTAACAAGTACAACCAAATTAGCCTAATGAAAAGTATTTTCAAACTGAATTTTCTCAGTTCATCTAGCACGTGTCATCAACTAATTAATAGCACTCAACAGTATTGCCACCCTGCTCCGCACACAACCTCCACTATTGCCACGCCCCCATTCAACCCATTCAGCCCCCTTTAACCCATGGCCGCCCACAAACTCACCTGCCGGCTTCCAACAATCCCAAGAATCCAAACAAAGTTGCGCTAAGTGAAACAAAAATTTCTTGTTGCCTTTTGTCTGGGGCTTAATGCATTAAAGACGAGGTTCTGGTAAAGGAAATGTTTCCCTATATAGCTCCTCCCGCTCGCTCCCATGGTGTGCACACAAGCGTGCCGTCCTCCTATCTCCAAAAGTGGGCGTGGCAATTAAACAGCCGCCTCCCGAGTCAAGGAAACAAATTCAGGCAACTTTCACTTTACTCAGCAATCAGTGCAAAAGTCACACATTCGCCAACAATTGGGGTTAAAATAATAAACGATGGTATTAAATTTAAAAGTTTATAAAGAAACGACTTCATTACAAACAGAAATAAAAAAAATTAATGTAGAAAAACTAAAAAATACTTAATTTATGAAATATTTTCTTTTGATTCATAGAAAATGTGAATTTTTTAAAATACTCAATAGAGCAGGATTTCTTATTATATACGTGTGAAGGTGCTTAGCATACATTTTTATATTCGAACAGAAGAATTGAGTTATTCAATGAATATTGTACTGATCGAAAGTATAGGTAGCAAAGTCTTATTGTATATCATTAATTGATAATTTTTTTAAACCTATGTCAATATTATTCTGACCGCTGCTGTACGTACACATATGCCTGACCAGACGGGCAGAAGGAAGAAACATAAGAAGCAAGGCCTTCTATTTATTTATACATATAATTTTGTTTTGTTTTTTTTGTGCCTTTGGCAGTTACTTTTGCCAAAGTTTTTTAATTTAAAAACTTCAAGGAAAAATGGGTGGCGTGGGGAAGATGGGTGTAAAGTGTAAATAGGGACTACGCCCACACCCACAGCCAAAGATCATCATCGACAACTCAGGTCAGTTGCCGTCTCTTTCTACCGTCATATATCTGTCTCTCTCACTTGCATCCTTGACCTGCGTGTGTGTGTGTGTGTGTGTGTGTGTTTGTGCGTTCTGACATCCTGAAAGATTTGTGTTTGTGTTTTGTGACAGCGTGCAAAGCTTTCAAGTAAACTTGCCAAAGGAGTTTCTGCCAAAAATAATTGTTGTTGCCGTTGTCTTGGTGGGTGGTAATTGTGGGTGGGTGTCTAGAGTGGATGGGGGGTTTCAATTGGGTGGCTGACTGGCTGGCACTTACCGCACTGCAGGAACTTCGAGGATATCCCATTCGACGGACGTGTAGAACTCGGACAGATCCACGCCCACCTCCACGACGTTGGTGCCGTTCAGCTCGTCGATGTGCCGCAGATCCACCTGAAAGTGGATGCAGACTGGTTAGTTTCCGGCTATTCGTACACTGTCCAAAAATCGTGTTTTTTATTTGGAAATAAAATACTTGCAAAATATTTACAAAATATAAGACACTGAAACTTTGGGACAATCACAAATTGCAAATATTATATTATTTATTTATTATTTGCATAAATAATTCCTAGCATGACTCATAAATTATTTTGCTAGTTTCAACCTCCAATTAAATATTTCATTGCTTTCTGTTACTGCTTTCAGGTGTCCCAAGAATTTGTTATAAAGTTTAATTTTAAGGCAAAGTAATTATGAAAGTTTGCTGAGAAGAAAGTACAAGCTGCAAATTGTATACCACATTTTTGGAATAGAATTTTTTACTTACAACAAAAAAAAAATTGTCCCTTTTATGTTTCTGAAACTGGAAAGTGCAGAATTTTCATCACATTTTTAAACAAAGAAGTTATGCACAAAATATTTCACTTCCACTTTTGAGAAATAATGTATCCAGGCAACTCCAAGCTTAATCGAATTTTTGTGTGTAAAAGTACTAGAAGTTTGGGGATTGGCAAGTTCTCGGCTTGAGTTTACTCTCAGTTGCCAGTGATTAGACAAATACTGCGTTGCGCTGACAGAGAACATAATTGGACTGCACACTTCACTTCGCCAGATGGCTCTGTTTCAGCCATCGGCTGCACTTATTCCCGATTATCCTGACTATCCTGACTATCCTGACTATGCGGGCTAGTCCTCACTCGTCCTGGCCTGTCATTCCGATTTGACTGTCAAAGTCAGTGGCAGCATCCTCGAATCTGGGATCCTGGGGCCAGTTTGCCAGGTGGAGAAATGCAGAAATGGAGAAATGGAGAAGTGCTGGCTGCAGTGATACCGAAATGGACAAACATGCGAAGGCCGCACTTCAATTTCAGTGTTCAGTTTTGCTTAGTTCGGCACGAGTGCAGCTGACAGGACATGGACATGGACATGGACCTGGATGCAGGAGCTAGGAACGGCGACAGGACACCACCTGGTCCACAGGACCGTCGACTTCGACTTCATCTTCGCCTCCGCCTCCACCTTCACCTTTATCTGCCAGCATTTGCGAATGTGCTGGTCCAAAGTCGGAGAGTCCTGGATAAAGAATTTGACATGCGATTGCAACACTCTATCACACTCGATTCTTGGCTCTCGAATTTCGGCCGGAATTTCACTGAATTCTAAGCAGATCCACTGAATGTTTGGGTTTTTATATGTATTTAAGGTACATGTATTTTATGCAAACTTTCAAAAAAACAGGTATATGGTGAATAATTTATTAATTATTGTTAAGTTTTTAAATTGTGTATCCTCTTGCTGAGGAAGGAGCGAAGGAAGCAGCGAAGGAAGACATTTACAAGCTTATGAATATATATATTATTAATCAGCCGAATTAATTTGCTGTTGATTGTTTTTAGTGTTTTTGAGTTTGGATCAAAATCGGCTGAGTATATCCTATAGTATGTCATTTCAACTTTTGACTAATACTTTCCAGGGTTTTAAAAATCTTGCAAAAGATAGGTTAGAACTTTTAGTGTTTGATTTTCCTTTATAAAATAAAAATATTATTTTATTTCCAAATCTAAGTTTCCTTAAATCGTTCAAGTGTGCCCAGGAACTCTATGACTAACGAACTCTCAAAGTTTTCTGGTTCATTTTCAATTCACGTTCTCCCCTGGTTTTCCCCACGTCGCAAATAAAGCTTTTCCACAACTGCATTATCTAGTCTTTTTTTTCAGCATGCTCAGCTTTTCTGTGTGCACTTGCTGTTTGAATATTAGCCCGGAAGTGCATTCATTCCATCAGCAATTTTTAATTCCTTCCTTTCTTCCACTGAATTTCCTAAAGCATTTTGTCTGCCAATTTACGCCTCAACGATTTTCCATGGAGCCCAATGCGAGGGGTCAAAGGTGAAACGTGAAATGGGGCGGCTGCAGGTGCCAGTTGACATTCGGGGGGCGGTGGGTGTGGCATATTTGGAAAAGCGTGAAATTTGAAAAGTGACGTTAATACGATTTCTCGTTTCTATGCTCACTGCTTTTTGCTAAGCTCTACCCTTCTGGTTAGGTGCACTTGAAAAAATAACTTATATACAACATATCATCACCGAAAACCCTTTTTTGTATCTATCATAATGTTTAAAATATATAGCTTTGTATATAAACTGTTCAACGTTGAAAATTGTTAAAGAAAAGTTTATTTTAATACAATTTAAATGTACATAAACGGTTTTAAGTATATTTTGAAATCTTGACCGAGGTTTTGTTTTATTATATTAAGTAAATACAATGATGAAGTCTTTATTATGAAGTAAAAAATTTTTTCAGTTACTTTCGAAAGAAACAATTTATTTTTATATTTTTTTTAGTGCTCTTTCCACATTATGCCCCTCTTTTTGACGACATTATTGTAAGAATGTGTATGCGGGCGTATCCTGTGCAAAATCAAGTGTGAAAATTGAGCCTATGAACATGCCCTTGCCTTTTGTTCGCCCCGTGCAAACTCCACAATTTTAGCCGCCCTTTTCCCCTATCTGCCCCGCATTTTCCGACTTTTCCCCCGAAGTTTGGCTCATTGACACGAAATTAGGAAATCGACGCTGGCTGAACATGAATGAAAAACAGACTGCGAAGATGCAGCTGGGGCGCAAGTTGGGCAAGTTGGGCAAAGGGAACTCAACCAGACAGGATGTGGCTTCCCCAGGACTTCGCCAGGTGCAATGGAATCCTGGCTGCTGGAATTGCCGATGCGGAAATTGTTATTTTAAGTGGTTGCGGAAATTTCACTACAAGAAAGTGATGATTTAATGAAATATTTCCGCTGTCGAGCAGAGTGATGCCACTGCCAGGCAGGCGACGAGCAACTGAACACTGAGAGCGAAGGTAACTCCCACGGAGACTACATTAATAATTTACCGCGACTATGTAGGATATTGCTCTTTTTGTGGTTGATTTATGCGTAAAGTTGAACAAAACATTCTACATTGTACAGCACCAAATATGTTCACACTTAAATAAAATGTAACGAATTTGTAAGCATTAATATAAATCTGTTTACCCAATGATATAAGAAAATGGCTTCTTAAAATAGTTTGGAAAAATGTATAAAAATAAATGAATGCCGACAAAAGTATTTGTTTTATTTTTAAGGTTTAAAGGAATCTAAAACTTACATGCTAGAAAACCCAACCTATTCTACATATTAAGCATTTCGCTTTTAGTCTTTTAATGGGCTTATTTAAGTTATCATAATTTCACTTCTATTACGGATTTCTCTCGGTGTAGACAGAACTCACACCTGTGCATTTAAGACAATGCTGGCCCGCATCACCTTTCATTTTCCTACCCCTCAATTTGTGTCGTGTGAAATGCTTGTTAGCGCCTTTCCTTTTTAATAGTAAATGAGCATTTAGCTTTTTAACAAATTAGTCAACTGTCTGAGTGTGTGTGTGTGTGTGAGTGTAAGTGTCGGTGTGCATATGTGTTGGCCAGAAAGAGAAAGTACCTACAATTTTGCTAATTGTCTCGACGTTTTAACAAAGGCAGCAAGTCAAATTAAAGGGAGATAAATTTACTTTATCTGCGCTGCTAATTGACTGATGGACACAAATTAGACATATTTAATTAGGTCATTGTGTGTGAGTCATTAAATTTTCGATATTTTGTGGGGGTGGAGATAAATGCATTAATCTCAAAAAGCTTAAGCTTAAACTGCTTAAAGCTGTATTTCTTTCGATCTAAAAATTTACTAATTTGCAAAGTAGATAAGTTATATTGGATTTAATTTAAATTTATTGAATTAAAATTAAATCTTGAAATGCTGTAAGAAACCTGACAATGACTTTAACCCATTATTGGTTTCGTTCCGCCAACGGAAACAGTACATTTTTTTTTCAACTCAAGCGCGACCTGGTCGGCGATTTTATGGCCTGGCTAATGCAGCTTAGTAGATGCATGTGGTTAACCCGTATCTGCCCTTTTTTCCGCCTGAATGGAGGGTTAAGAGGAATGGGAAGCTGGCTTAGGTCTACACCTAATGCCGGTTCATTATTAGCTGGCAGGGATCCAACCGCAGGACGAAGCCACAGAGCACCCATCGTTCGTTACTATTCCTGCACTCAAAGAAAATGTATGTAAATATGCAACGAACTTGATTGAACTTCAAAAGAAAGAAATTTCCTCTTGAAGGAAAATTGTATTAATAAGTCTGAAGAATCTGCTTACACCAAAGAAAAACAAAATATTTGCAAGAACTTTATTTGAATATGTGAGTAGATATATGTTTTTAATAAAATCAAATAGTCATTCTGCATATAGGGAGTGAATGTTTGAGGACATTCAGGACTTAAAGCGTTCGTTAAATGAGTTTTTAAGATGGATTTATTATTTTTCCGGGTGTATGTCTGCCTGGGGTTGCATTTCGGTGGGATGCAGGGAATTTTACGAGGTTACGCGCCCATCCGACCGCTAGTCGTCGACATTTGTCGTTCAGGTGTCAGGCTGCCTCGGTTTTCTGTGTCCTGTGTCCTGTGCCCCGAATTCCGGAGTCCTTGGTCTTCGGTCCGCGGTTCTCGGCTCACTGGCCAAAACCACTGGAGACGTTTTTATGAAGCTTCCCTGTGGTCGACTCTCTCTCTGTCTGTCTGTCTGTCTGTCTAGCCGACTGTCTAACTGTCTGACTGGATGTCGCTGTGTCTGTTCCAAACCCATTTGCCTGCCGACTCTCCTTCTTCTTTGTTGTCCTGTGTTTTGTGGCCATAAAACGTGAGAAATTCCATGCCAGTATTCCAAAAAGGAATTATGACCGTATTTCGGTTTATGACCACTAAACCGGGCTCAGAGACACCCAAACGGAGCGCCAGGTGAGCAATTTGTAAATGTGTAAATGAGATAGTCACCGGGGAGTGCGGAATGGGAAATGGGCAATGCAAATGGAAATGGGATAGAGGCTCTGAGATAAGGAGTTTTGGCCCACTGGTACATCCTTTAATGGCAACATATCTGCCTGATATATAGTTCGTCCTGCTCCGACTCGAACACTGGCCACAGATTTATAAACCAATTAGCCAAAGGCCAGACGGCCGAGAAACTTTCATTTGTGTGGTTTAAATTGGATAACGTGTGTGTGGGCGAGGGGCAATAAGTTTTCAAGTTGCCGCCAGCCAAATTTGCGGTCCACATAAAAGGGACATCAAAGATTTGTTTCCAAATGCGAAATTGAAATCTTGTTTTGCCGCCAAATCCCATTGTTTGCTGGTCTTAGAGAGATGTGTATAGGATTGGAATGGGCTCGCGTTGGACATAAAATTGCTCAGCTATATATGTGTATTGGCAAATGAGGTACATTGAAATTGTCTAATCTATGATTTACTTTTAAGAAACTTAGTTTTATATAAAAGATTTAAAGGTCTTTCTAAGGGTATGAAACAACATATTTTGAATCCTGCAATCCATTGGATTCATTCCATATATTACTGATTTCAAAACACTAAAGATTTCTCGAAAGACTGATTTTTTAACTATTATTCTAAAGTAAGAATTCATATAAAACCATTACCGGAATATAATGTACTTGTAACTCTTTTTTAATCACATACACAAATTATAAGAAATTGATAATTACTATGGCATAAGATATATTTGATAATGTGTTTTTGAATTAATGGACTAAAACATAGTATATAAATATAGTATATGTACATTTTACCATATCTAAATAGTTTTTGTTTTGCTCTTAAACTAGTTTTTGGCATTGCAATTGTGTAAACCATATTTGGGACCCACCTGAAAGCCGTCGTAGGTCCAACTGCCGAACTTCATGACGCAGGTCTGCTCGTCGAAGGGGAAGTACTCCACGTCGATCTCGCAGGAGCTCTTGTAAATGGCCGGCGGTCGCCACTCGACACGTCCTGTGTAATTCAGCGTGGCCTTCGTGGCCAGCGTCACCTCGAAGTTGCCGTCGGCGCTGGAAAAACCGGGATGTATTTTAGTACTTTAAAATATAAAGAAATTAATCATTACTCGCGCAAAAAAAAAAACCCTTTAGAGCATAATAATAACCTTAACTTCATTTCTAGCATAAAAACAATAAAATAATAATAATAACGTTTTTTTGAATTTCAAATACATTTGCCTTGATGAATTTTTACAATATAATTGGTATATGATATAAAAGTGAATTACCAAATTGTGGATGTCATAAGAAAATGCATTAAAAATATATCCATATAATTGTAGATCTTTTGGCAATACAAAATTACAAAATCCATGGTAAATTGAGTTGATTTAATACGCTCGAAACTCACTTGTTATAGAGGACGATGTCCGGACGCCAGATGTGATCGGAGGGGACGTGGAGCATCTCGACGCCGCCGTACTCCTTGGGCTCCCACTTGAGCTTGTAGTCGTACCAGGACTGCTCCACCCACAGGTTGGTGGTCATGATCTGGTTCTTCAGGTTGACATCGATCAGTTGCGATAGCTTCAGCTTGATGCGCACGGTGAGGGCATCTGTCACATTGACCACCGGGCGGACCAGTTTGTTGTAGTTGCTCAGCAAATCGTCGTACAATCGCTTCGCATCCGGATTCGCTGTGCTGCCTGCGGGATGGAATAATACGGATACGGGTCTCAAACAATGGATAAACGGTGCCAAAGTGGGTCATAGAATGTGGACTATGGGGATGTGAGTGTGGCGGGAGGGAGTCTGAAAACTTTCTCGATTGAAGCTCAAATCGCCCGGGGCTGTTCGGTGTGGTCAAGTTTATTAAACGCTCTCGATTGCAACACTTTATGTGTGTACTTTGTGTACACTTCTGCCAGATACACCAACAAATTTTGTTTTCATATTCGTAGTATGTTTAAAGTGTGTGAAAAATTTACAAAGCGAACTGACAGCGCCAGCAGTTAGACTTTTATGTATAACCAACATGTCGGATGAGTTATATTTTCACTTGTTTGTTATTTACCAAAGGAATTAATTTAAATTTTTTTTATAAATTTCACTGTTTAGTACTTCTATGCATAGCCTGCATGTCGGATGAGTAATATATATATATATATATATTTATGTTCCTATATCTTCTACGATAAATCGTTTTTTCGGAGAAGTTACGTATTTAATCATTGCTAATAGCATTTATAGGATATAATTACTACCATTTATTAAATTTTAAAATGTTTAATAAAATATTTGAGCAAACTGAAAAATACGAAGCATTGTGGAAAAAAATAAAGCTAGAATTAAGCGTACTTTGTTTGCAAAATTCTTAGCCACATTTGAGTGCAGTCACAGGTATTAACTTTCCCGAGTCCCAATAAAGAAAAACCAACTCAAATTGACCGAGATCAGTCCCAGCCACTCTCTGTCATTCAAAGCGTATTTAAGTGGAGTCCAGCAACTAAATTGATTATGGAGGGAATGGGGATCCGGCTTCATCCTGGACACGTCTGTGGCGTAAATGTGCGAAAATTGCAGGTGCCCCTTAATGATGCAGGAAATGAGTTAATGCGCCGTCAATGGCAGCGACACCAGCAACATCAACAGAGGCAGCAGCAGCAACCAGCAAAGAGCAAACGGGTAAATGGGCAAAGGGCTGCCAGGACAACAGGACCAAGGCCAATAGGGCTGGGGGGAGGGAGGAGAGGTTGATGGGGTGAAAGGACTCGCCGAACGACGGCATTCAGCCAGGCGGGTGGCCAATGGCTCAGTCAAGCGTTCGCCTTCATTGTTGCCGCTCCTCCGCTCTTCTCCGCTCTGCTCCGCTCCACTAAGTCCTGCCACAGCACTCGAAAAAATAATAGCAAGCTAGCTGTCAATATTTTCAAAATCAATTATACATAATAATATTATTAAATTTTTTCTTACGAATTTGGGATAAAAAAAATTAATGTTTAAAATTGTAAATTTGATTAAATTCAAAAGTAAGATAAAATAGTATCTAAATTGTGAAGCCAATGCGACTGACGCCTAACAGTAAAAGTATTTAACTTTAAGCTTCAGAATACTTAATAAATAATAAATAAAAATTATAATTATAAAATGGTTCTAGCCTCATGGCCCTCATGAAATTCTCGCAGTGTAGCTTGACATGCAAAGCAAAGCGAGTCGCATCAGAAGCAGAGCCTGATTGGCATCCTCGCCTGGGGGCGACAGCCATCCGCCCGCGGGGTTGGCTTAGCCTGCCTCGGATCGGCACCAGTCTGCATCTGATTTGGATTCGGATTGAAAGGGAGCCGGAGGCGATGGCAATGGCAATGGCAATGGGAATGGAGACGAGCGGGGGGAGGGGAGTGGGGAGAGGGGCTTAGGGACTGAGGACTGAGGGCAGCTGTAAAATGTCGCCAATGTCATTATGCGAGGCTTGCGCTAATCAGCTTATCATTACTATATAATATGGGGCATAAAAATGCCTGTCGCTGGGTTCTAAGCGCATTAAAATAGTTGCCGGGCACCGGATTGAAATGGAGATGTAGTCCAAAGTCGCAGACAAAGCGAAAATAAATCAATTAAAAGATTTCCCATCCACATTATCCCCTCACCATGATGTTCGCACCCATATTCTTCGTTTTGTTTCGTTTCGTTACGTTTCTGATCTGTTTTGTTTTTATTTCGGGGCCAGCAAAGCCAAGATCCCGGCCGGAAAGCTAATTAGCAGAGCGACCCAGTCGGATTGCTCCAACAATGGGCGGTGCGGAGGCGTGGCATGCTATCGGCATATATCATTAATTTAATGTCCCGCACATTAATTGACTTTGTCGAAGGAGGGAGACACGTTGGGCAGCACAATGACCATAATGTGAGCATATATAATGTTGTATGTCTCCCGGGAGTTGTGTAATCGGGGAATCGGGGTATCGGGGTATCGGGGAATCGGGGAATCGAACAATGTTAATGGCACTGGCTAATCCCGAATGGTTATGCTGCCAGGGGGCCATCATTGCGGCCAATTTTAGGGTTTAGGTGCAACTAATTTCGGTCAGTTGACAACAAACAAATAAATATAAATTATCAATTTTATCTGTGATGCCTTAACTGAACCACAGCTTATATGTGGAATTCATAATGGGCAAATAATGGCATCGCAATTCACGATTTAACCAGAGGCAACTTTGCCTGAGACTCAACAAAATGCATTAATATAACTTTTATTATATTTAAGGTTTTTGAAATTTCAATAGCAAGCAGACAACAGTTTTAAGGACTATATAATAATAATAAATATATTTATTTCACAACCTTTTATTTTAGCTTTGCACAACTTTTCCATTTGGTTAAAGTTCTTTTTATTGTAATTAAATGTTTTGTTTAACAAATCTAATTTATTGAAAGTAGTAAACAAAAGTGGGCACAACTGTGCGGACTATCCCAAGCTTTTTGTAACATCCTTAACTAGCATTGACCTACCCCGTTTTTGGACCACCCAACCCCAGTGACATTACCATCTGGTGTACTCACTTTTGGCCACATCTTGCGGCTGGCCTAAACATCTTAAACGAGCCTTGAGGCCGTTAGAAGGCGTCGAGTAATTTGAGCAGCACATGGCTGCTGAATTCTGGATGGTGGATGGTGGTGCTGAATTCCAGATACACGCAAAAAAAAATTTCCTTTTATTTTTGAATTTTGCCAGAATGTATTTAATTTAACATATATATACCAATTTATTTTTTGATTGCTTTGAAATTAAATTAATTAGGAAAAAATTATAACTTTCTAAAAATTGTGACTAAACTACATAGGGAAATATTTTACTTAAAGACGATAATGTGTAGCAAATGTGTGCTTAATTTCAGAAATACTTTATACTGGTAATGCCTCCAAAATTTTAACTTTATTTTCTTTTTTTAAAAGTATTGTTAGATTTAAATTTATTTAAGGGTACTTTTTTTCAAAAGTGTTCACTCGCTTATTCATATGGCCAAGGTGTGAGACTTTTATGCGACACTGTGTGGGTGTGCAAGTGCGGCTGTGTGTGTGGCACACTCGTACATATAGATTGTGGCTCGCGTGGGAAACGTTAAGTTAAACGGACCTTTGCGGCGACCGCTTTTGTGGGGCTCGACTTGGGCCTGTCATACGCGACGTATGCTTTATATTGCCCAAACGTGTGTGTGTGTCGGCTGTTTGCAAGTCTGGGTGTTAATCGACTGTCGGTGTGTGTGTGTGTGTGTGACAATCACATTAAGGTAGCCAAAAAAGCACATTTTATGATTGCTTTGCGTGTTTTTCCCCCCACTAAGCCCCGTACTTGTAAATGTGTTTATTGTCAAAAGCACACGCAAAAATGAACACACATAAACAAGTGTTCAGGGTTATGTCTACACTGCCTAAAAAAGTGTAGTTCTTATGCAATTGGCTTCAGAAGGCATACAAAATGTATTTATTTATTTAATTTCATTTCATTTTGATTTTGCCTCTTTGTACGTTCTCTGTAGACTTCTGTAGCTGTTTATTTAATTTATTTATTGAAGTAAAACTGCAACTGCTCATTGTGAATATTTCATACGTATTTTGTCTATCTTAATATTTTTCTACATAATTTCCCAGTGCGCAGCCATGAGTAATGAATTTCTATTGTATTTTGCCAGACGTGTTTTGTTCCAAATAAATATAAAATTTAAGGTTCTTGGTCTTTTGACTTTTCGATCTGCAGCTAATTGATAAGGCCAGGGGCAATTAAAATGCATTTCGAATGGGTAGACTTAATTTGGAATACTATGTGCAGTTCGGTCTTGAATTCAAATCGGAGTCACTTTACTGGCTTTTGGCTGCTGACCTAATGCAATTCTTCTGTATTTTCCTGTATTTTCATTTTCCTGGATTCCAAAGAGGGCAACTCTTTGTTTTCGCATTTCCACCCCGTTTTCAGAACGTGTTTCTGACTCCAAAATAATTATTTCTGGTTTGTTCTGTTTCATGGTGTTGTTTAATGTTAACACTAGCCCACACACCAATTTGGGGTTTTCCAAATGTGTCATAAGCTCCTGATTAGTTTACTCCCGACACTTTTAATCCTGCCATTCCTGCGGCGACAACATTAATGAATAAGAGAGCACACGGACAGTGCGTTACGCATCTGTAAGTCGGCTGCAAGCAAATTCCCAGATAAGTTGGAGAACAAACTGAGAACTGTTGCAAATTTGTTGTAATTAACTGTCATTAAAACACACTAAAACAAAGCGTTGTGAGTCTTTGGGAGCAATCATATATATTTCTTTAATTAATTTAATGGCTTTATCGAAATGCTAAATGCTGTAATGTATTTTAAATGCATTAGTCTAATATACTATATCCTATATCCCTTCCAATATAGTAACAAAATCTTCCTTTCATAGACTTTATCATTAATCATTGACATTTACTAAATACACAGGGCTGAAAAATAAATAATTCTTTAATCAAAAGGGTGCCAAAGGGTTTTCACGACAAAGCATTTTCAGAATTTTCTTCTAGCTTCAATTTAACGAGAAAAAAAAAATGTTCCTGTGGGCATTTCCTTTCGCGGTGCATTCATTCACAATAATTGCGTGTAAATTTGCAGCGCTCAACCAAACTCAACTTCAACAAAGAATAAGCGAATAACCGAAGCAGCATTTTCATG